TGCAAAACAAGCCTTAAAAAGAGAAACTTTGCTATAACGAACGCTACTGTATTGTCATAACATAAAACTTATCGTTGTTTTGGTGTTTACACATCATGATACAGTTTTCGTTGTTTTCCAGGATTTGGCTTTTAAAACCAAAACCATACTTAGTATTGAAATCAAAAACCAAAACCAAAGCTAAAGCTAAAGTGAGCTAATTAACAAAACTTCGTTAAAAATACAACTTAAAATCCAGCTTAGAACTTACAAACAAATCATCAACTAAAGAAATTTGAAATCAAAACTAAATCAAACTTGTTCGATTTGAAATCTTTATTTGGTTTCATTTCTTAATTCTTCCAAAGAATGGTATGTTTTCAAATTATAAATATTTCTTCCAAATCATGGAAAACAAAAACTCAATCATAGTATTAATGTTTTCTAGATTTCATCATTATGTGTATCATTTTCACTAAAATGAATCAAGAGAACGAACTCTAAGCTCTCTTATCATAGTAGACAGTATTGCATTCAAGATTCTATTGAGAATTTCATATTAGTTGGATAAATTTGGTGCTTTTATAGGTGATGATTTATTCTGTTAACTTTGGTTAATTCGAGGGTTTGTTTGCAATTTCACCTTTATAAATTTTGCATTCAAACAAATTCTCTTTTACAAAAATCATTTTGCTTTTTTATAAATTTTCATCTTCCAAAGTTTTATCATCAATTCTCATTTTCTATATTCTCATGTTTCTTAAATAATATTTGTATAGGTTATGTTCTTGCTCTATAATCATGGTTGATGTCTGTTCATGTCATGGATAAACAATCTAGTCCTCTCGAAGCAATTGACGCATCACTCAGTCTTCTCATAGTTCTTAGGGAAAATGAATCAAACTTTTTTAATTTTTTTTAATTATGAGGCATCAGTTTTTTTAACTGATATAAGCTATATACCATATGCCCTTATTGTTTGGTGAGCTCAATGTGTTTAAAAGTTTGATTTTTTTTTGTAAATTTTTTAAATTGGAATTTGGAAGTAAACAAGATGGTCATGTTGAGCCATGTTGGAAAGAGAAACGAATTATTTTCAGGTCATTCAGAATTAAAGCTTGTGAAAAATGATTGTTGACACATCTATTTAAGATCAATTCAATTTATGTAAACTATTTTTTGTTTATTTTTTTTATGTGTTTTCTGTTTTCTCAAGTTGCTGTGATTTCTGCTTTCTGCATTCTGTTTTCTCAAGTTGCGGTGCATTGGGTCATGGTCTGAACTCCAACTTCCACAAAACTAAATAGAGAAAAAAAAATATTTTCACAAATCAGCAATATTAGCCAGATGATATTTGCTCTAATCATATTATGTTAATGTTATGCTCTAATCATATTTGCTCAATTTGGTGGAAATTCAATTTGGAAACTATTTGATTCTCATGGCATTACTTTCCGATTCTATTGTTCTTATTACTTCGCTGATATTTTAAATTTTCATATATATGGCTTGATTTGAGCAATTTTGGAGCATAAATACAAACATAAAAGAGTCATTTACATGATTGGCTACTTTTTTAGTCGAAACGCACAACCAATATATATTCGACTCATTACTTAGACTCGTAGAATTTAATTACTCGAACGAAATTTAATGCCTTTGAGGTAATAAAGCAAACGGCCAAACCTAACCCAAGTTTTCTCCAAAAAAGTGTAATAACTCTTAGAAACATACAAATACGCAGTTTGTCTGTCAAACTTACACAAGATACAAGAGAAACAAACAAAAAAAACAGATCAAGAAACCCAAAAGTAAAAAGTAAACAAAGATTTAAACCAGCAAAAAGAGGTGATCAAATAATTAAGAACAACACTAAACCGATTGTCTGGAGACGGTGAAACCACAGTGAACCAAAACCAATGTACAGTAACACAACGTAAAAAGCACACAGGACTGATAAACTCCACCAGCGACGATCAGTTGCAATAACATGAGCTTGTCCATTGATGTCGAACTCTGCAACTGAATACCGTCGGTGGGTAAAGGAGGGTCGTTGGAGCTTCCGGAACTCTCTGGAAGCGTCGGCGATTGATCTGACGTTGAGCCTTGAGGCATATTGTCGCTACGGTCTTCTTTCTCTTCATCAGACTCCTTCTTGCTTCCGCTGCTACTGTCTGTGCCATCTGCACCGTCTCTTGAAATGGTTTTAACCACTTCGGGCCGTGGCTCTACTCCTACCCGCCTTAGGTGCAGCTACACACATGGATTGAGATTCATCATATAATACAATGTTTAAACACATACGTTGTAGATGCTGAGTATAAATATAATGTACCTGCAGATGCAAATTGACTTCGTCGGGCCGTGAAAGGAAAGGGAAATCTCCTCCGGTCTTTAAGTAAGCTCTCCTTGCTTCGGGATATCTCTCTGTAAGCTCATCTTTAAGACGTTGTGGGATTGCACAGTAATCATTCGTCTGATTTAAGAGGGAAAAACAGAATCATTAGACGATTGAAAACAAACTTTGATTTTTAAGATAAGAGTTGGTAAAAAAACCTACATCCATTATAGTGATGGACGAATCAGAGAGTAGTAGAGATCCAACGGAAGCAGCCTCTACTGTCAAAGTCAACCGTGAAGCCAAATCATCCTTTGACAGTGTCTCAACCTAAATCAGAGCAAACCAAAAGTTAAAGTCTTTCAAGGAAATATTGAAGAGAGGATTAGCAGGGGAACCACCTGAGAGACGGCAAAGTCGACAGAGTCAGCGATGAAGGGCTCGTGAGGTCCGTCGCGTATTCCGGTTAAGACGTATCGTTTCAGCAAGAAAGAAGGAGTCCAACTAACACTGCACAGTGCAACACGAAAAGCGTTGAGAGAGTCAGTACAAAATCCTTAGGCCACAAACAAGAAAATAGAGATTGCGATAGACATACAAAGGAGCCCATGGCATTGCAGCAGTAAAAGTGCGAGTGTCCAAGTATGTATTTGATAGAACCAATGATTTAACACGTCTTGGACGGTGATGAGCAAAGAGCTGTGCTAAGAAGCCTCCAAGGGACGTACCATAGAGATGCACCTGTTAACAATGGTCAATAACATTCACTTGCAATGCTATTTCTTTCCTCACCATTAAAAGTAAAAATTACAGACACAGATGGGGTGATTTGAAACTTTAAAGATCTTACATGATGAACATCAATGGTGTCTAAGAATTTCTCAAATGCTTGGATCCACTCGTGATAATTCCAAACCCGAGGAATGTCGACTGAAATCACCCGATAACCCTGTATTTGCAGATTTAACAACATTCAAGAAAAAAAGTTCAACACTTTTAGGATGAGATTTTTAATCAGTCTCCAAGGACAAAGCAACACATAAGCATATTGGTTATCATAGCCTAATAAGTGTTTAAAGCAGCAATGCTACAAAATTTGACATACCCTCATAGACAGTGACATAATTTGTTTATAGTAGACATCTGCAGTTCCTGCGATTCCAGGAATACATATGAGTGGAGGAACAGTCTTTGGACCATAGTCATAGTAACGCCATTGCTTTGTCCCAATCTGCATTTAAGATGCACATAAAGGCTACCTATTAAAACTGTTTACTCTCTCAAAGCAAATGACATCCAAACGCACACAAATACTGAAACTCTTGCAAGTAAGGGCAATAGATGTAAAACTGGAAGCAACAAAAATTCAACACAATGACGCATTTATAGAGCCGTCAATTACTTGAAAAAAGGAACCCTTTTTACTAATCAAATGGAACAAGAACACTATTAGCTCCCAAAGCTACTCATAAAGAACCCCAGAGGAATCTACTAATAAGATCAAAACAGAGAGCAACTATCACTAAACTAGAGGCTAACGAGTTTTGAATACTTACAAATTTTGCTTATTATCAATTAACTCAAGTATAACAACAAAGGGCAGCCAAATGCATTCATAAACCTGAGTAAATGGTTCGATCAAATTACTAATCCTAAATTCAAAACCCAAATCATGTGGAAATTTCAGCTCCATGAAACCATTTTATGATGATGAGAAAACGATTGAACTAAACTACTCACATGACGATTAAAAACCCCACACGAAATCAATCGAAAATTTAACATATAGTTTCGAAACCTCCAGAGCTTGATTATCATCAAACCTAATACAATAGCGAAATCAAATGCGGAATCGAAATTCATCGAAAGTCAAAGAGAAAGAGACCAAGAAGAAGAAGAAGAAGGAACTCACGGGAATCTTGTGAAGCGGAACCTGGGATTTGAAGTAGACGTAATCTCCGGGCGCCGACGAGACGCCTTTCATGGCCGATCGGAGATTTTCAACATCCGCCGAGACTCGAATCGATCAAAATAATTGATATATGTATTTTAATTTTCTTTTTGCTCTCTCGAACAACTTCGCAATTTTTTTTGTTTTTCTTTTTCTAAATTTCGATAGAAATATTTAACGGGGAGTTAACCACGTTTCCGATATTAAGCTATCAACGGTGCGTCAACGTTTACGCCGTCACTGGAACCGTCATTATCAATTACAACGTACAAATGGTCATCATGACTCATCTAAGAGCATGTCCATTAGTGATACCCTCATATGGGTATCAAATTGTATCACAACATTTTTTATTAATATTTTTGTTAACTTTTTTGTTTAAGAGACTTAGGGTTTGATATTTATCTTTTGCTCTTTCCATTGGTGATACCTACAGAGTATCTAAAAAAATAAAAAATTATTTTTAATAAAAATATTTAATAAAAAACTTAACAACAAATCATAATAATAAAAACTTACAAAGCTTTAACCATAAAACGATTACAATAGATAAGCAATTACAATAGCTAAACAACTACAATACATGATTGCAAACTTCAACAAATTAAAAAAAATTGTAATCTTATTTTGGACCAAATTTTTGCCATATATGATTCACCAAATCAGCTTTCAAATGCTGATGTTTTATGGAATCATGAACTTCAAATCGATTGGCCAACGTTTGGGCGATATCTATAGGCACTCCTCTAGTGACATCATTATATTCCACTTGTGCATTACTGTCTCCTGTTTGTTGTTGGAATTCTGATACATTACCAAGAGTGTACCATCTCGTTCATCTTCGACTATCATATTGTGCAGAATGATACATGCCTTCATAATATTCCCAATTTTTACCTTATCCCATGAAAGAGCCGGGTTTTTGACAATAGCAAATCGAGCTTGCAAGACTCCGAAAGCACGCTCCACATCTTTTCGGTAATGTTCTTGATATGAAGCGAATAAACAATCTACGGGATTTTGAGGAATTTTAATTGATTGGATAAACGTTGCCCAATTAGGATAAATACCATCAGTGAGATAGTATGCCAACTTATATTTGTGTCCATTGACCCAATAATTCACCTTTGGAGCTCGACCTTCTATAATATCATCAAATACCGGTGAACGTTGAAGAACATTGATATCGTTTAGGGTACCTGGAAGTCCGAAAAACGCGTGCCAGATCCAAAGATCATATGAAGCTACGCCTCTAAAACAATTGTCGGTTTTCCTGAGCCACAGGATGGAGAAGAGAAATCCGGTGGTCATTGAGTCGGATTCGGTGGTAGAGATGAACGATTCTCCTTCACCATGAAAAATATCGAGGAAAGAAGAATGTCGATGAAAGAGGGTGTCGATTTCAGGAATTTAGCTTTTTCCATTTTTTTTTTAATTTTTTAATTTTTATAAAATCAATCAATAACAAGATGCCACATTAGGGTATCACAAAGCCTGAAACGTTCCTTCATTCACATACGTATCAGGCTAAATTGTTTATTAAAACTTTATTTTTAAAATAAAAATACCCTGAAACCCACTTAAAAACTGGTCCTGATACGCCGATAGACATGGTCTAATTTCACATGGTTGATACCAATTTCATAGAAAACATATTTAAAACTTTCTTTTCATCTAAATTATCTGAATATCTGATCTCCGTTAATCAAAAACAATAGTAAAATTTATCTGATCTATTTACTCGAACAATAATTCTGAAAATTCCAAATTTTGGCTTTTTATTTCTAAGAAGCTATAATTTACCAAATCGTCCTAATCCATCTACAAATCAAAACTCAATTTGAATAACACGTGATTACTTTCCAGAATTTGAATTGTTATTGTATAAACTGAGAGAAAGAAATAGAAAAGCAGATCCCAAACCATAGACATAGACAATGGCGGACCTAGAAATATGTTTTAGCTAGGTCAAAACTCAACTAAAATAATTAGTAGGTGTCACTGAAGACTCGAACTTGTGTTTAGGGGTGTCAATATGAAGGATTTTACCAATTAGGCTATTGCATTTTTGTGTTTTGGGCTTGCAAATTAACATATAATCTTATTTTAGGGGTGTCAAGTGAATCAGTATTAATGCATGTGGGTCCGCGTCCAGATAAAGGAGCTCCATGACCTAATACATGACTACTAAACATTTCAACAAACTCTCTTTGTGTAAACTTCGATTCTTTGGAAAAAAAGGTTAAAAAATATGGTGAGGGTGGATCGAACACGCGATCTTTCAGATCTTCAGTCTGACGCTCTCCCAACTGAGCTATCCCCGCTTGTTGACTTTCACAAGTTTATATATTAAGACTGTAATTAACGATAAGCTTTGTCTCCATGATGACAAAGTAACTCCCCTTCCAATTACAACACACTTGTTAGAGTAGTTGCTGTGTCTCAGAGTCAATTGGTCTACCACATTGTATGTAAAGACTCTACTAAACAAAACATATTCACCAAAACGTAGTTAGAAAAGAAAACCAATTCTAAGGTTGATTTCGAATCAATTAAATTAGATATTCTCCACCTGAAACTACAATATATTTCGTAAATGTGGTTGACCCAAAAAGACACTTTTTATTTAAAAGAAAAGGAAATTTTTGGTTGACAAGAAAAAGGAAATTTCTTAAAAAAGGAAATTGTGATCAATATAACCGTTATAAGCGCGGAAAAAAAAAAAAAAAAAATCACAATGACGCTAAGCATAAATAACCCATAAGCTTCACAATTCTCTTATTGCTTTTCATAATTCTCCCCTCGTTATTTTCTCTCTTTCTCTCAGTTTTAGTTTTCTGAATATTTGTTGGTAATCTTCTCTCTCAAACATGAATTATCCCCAAGTGGAAACTGACATCAACGCGCGTAGATTTCCTCCAATGCTAGGACACACAGAAAACTCAGTCCTCATCAACGTCCTGGCCAAATATGATGAGATCCTTCTAAACCCCACCACCGGTCATCAAACCCTAACCGGCCGGTCCTCTACAGTTTACATCGAAACCATTGATTTCTGTCTCCGTAGTTCAAGTCCCCGCGACATCGAACAGCTTCTCCGTGATCGACTCGTTGATTACCATTGGATATGCGAAGGCTTAGCCTCAGAAATCTCAACGGCTGCGACCGACCAAGGTTTTGGCCTCAACGAATTTACCTTGACCATCTTCGTCACCATTACTCTCCAGCCCCACGTGGTTTTGTCTGATCCTTCTGCGTCGAACGACAACGAGGCCGAGGCACTCTTGAGGATGGTTCTTCTAGCGAGGATAAAGAGAGAAGACTTGAAGAGTTTGAAGTTGGAAACAGAGTCTTGTTCGATCTGTCTCGACAATCTCTCAGATTTCTCGAAACACGGTGACCCGACACCGCATGGACTGTTCCCATGTCTTTCACAGTCGTTGTCTCTTGAAGTGGCTTCACCGCAAAAATACTTGCCCCATGTGTCGGACTGTTCTGTACGAATCCGATCAATAATTTGCGAACAAATACGTCTGAAATTAGGGTTTCATCTACTGTTTTGAACAGCTTGGGTCACAAGTAAGAGATTTTCTATGTACTTTCGTTGTATTAAGGTTTTGGAAGCAAGAATTTGTAATTCAACAGTTGAATGTAAGTTTCTGTTTCTTTTTTTCGTTTAGTGTTTTCAATCGATGCAAGGAGAGGTTTGAATTACTTCCTTTCACATAATTCTCTAAAGTTGTACTTAACTTCAATGGTTTTATGTACACAAACAACTCGTAAAGTCTTCTTACTAATTCAAGTCTTAATCACGGAAGTAAATAACTTTGTTTACAGAATCTGCAGGAGAAATCCAACAAAAGAACAAACTCGTTCAATATTCCACCTCGTATCAAGTAAACTCTCTTATCCATCACTCGCTAGATGATTCAAACCTCAAATTTTTACCATCAAAACTGTGTGAAACTGTGATTTGTTTATCACCTAAAATGTAACTCTATGATCTAATTTCCATAACAATGGTAGTTGTTTTTATCTGCCTCAACTAAACACGCAGCAAAACAAACAAGTAGAGCCACAAAATCAGTAAGCTTTTGGTAATTAACAACCCATATATACCACAAATATAAGAGTTTCTTTAATTACTAACTTTTCAGCTTGTGTCTCAACAAAAAAAATTATTTTATGACTAGCTAGTTATCAATCAAACTTAGGGATATTGACACTTAGAGCGGTAAATTGGCACCGGAAGAGCTTCCCACGAAAGCTGCATGTGTGAAATCCAGGGGTATGCTTTGTAGTGCTTAAAAAGAGAAGACAATTCTCATAAAACTCAATATTCGACACCTCTTTCGGTCATATGATCAAGTCCTCTCTGTGCCATGACTCCATGAGTTGGTTTCATCTTTAGCTTCTTCAATGTTATTTATTTCACCTCTTACAACATGAGACCCTTGGAGAAAATAGTCAAAATACACTTGATAGATTTTACAGATACAGAGTATCAAATCTTAAATAAAAGAGAAAGAAACGATTTCAAAGATTAACACAAACAGAAGTTAAAACATGGAGGACAGGGTCAATAGTGAAAACATGATCAAAGAAAGCACTGAAACATACTTGAAATCTACCTCGTTGGTAACTTGTGAGAGTATAAAATTTTTAAATTTTAATAAAAGAGCTTTGATATCCCACATCGGAAAACTAAGAGGGTTTGACAGTAGAGACTTTAGTATAAATAGACTTCACTCTGTTTAGCTAACCCTCACGCAGGCATGTGGTGAGCACAAAGCGAACTATTCTTTCGCCTTTTACTAAAGAATACCGTGTGCTCTCCACGCTAAGTGGCATACGCCTATTTTTGGAGGGATTCTGTCTTTGGACAGACCCAACATTTTGTTAGTCTGAACATTTATTTCTACACTGAAAGATAACAATAGTGCTCAAATTTACTTCTGCCTCTTTTGTTATCCTGATTCCAGTGTTTGATGATGAAGATGGATTATTTGTGATTACTAATGCGTATCGGTGGAGATTGAGACAAACGAATCAAAAGAGTAATCACAAATATTCCATTTCAGTTAAACTACTCTTCTCAGAATAAAAACCCGTTGATAAAACACTCGGGACTTCTTGACTGATTTTTACAGCTTCACATTATCACATAGTATCATCATTTCGAATAATAAGCAAAAAGACTTAATTTGGACACTGGTTTTTGTAATGATCATCTTCACCACAAATCCAGCAAACCCCTTTGGAGTTTTACCTCTCTCTTCTGTCAAACTCTAACTCTTTGGTTAGCACAGCAGAAACGACATAATCTGGTGTGAAGTTTCTTCCACAATACCGAATCACGTCTCTAAGATGATCAAATCTCTCTGGCAAAGAGTGTAACAAAAGTAACACCTGCTCTTCATCAGACACAGAGACATTATTATAACTCAGATCAGAAACCAATCCCTGAAACTCATCGATATTTTCCTCAACAGACCGACTCTCGTTCATCTTGAAACCATTAAGCTTCTGGTTTAGGTAAATCTTTCTACTTGGAGATGTATAGATTCTTTCAAGAGCTTGTAACATACCAGCAGCTGTATCTTCCCTCATGATCTTGATCCGCAGATCCTTATCTTCTATGCTCTTGATGATCATGTCCCTTGTCTTTCTCTTCTTCTCTTCCAAAGCAAGACTCAAAAGTAAAGAAAGCCCACTCTGATAAAACGCTGCGTATCAATTGAGTCCGACCAGTCTGCGAAAACCGAACCAAGCCAATCTTGAACCGGAAATTCAAGTAAACCAGAGACCAAAATCCTACACTAGTCAGTCGTCCAGAAACGTAACGGCGTTACAAGAGGACAAACGGATACGCTCTAACATGCCATTAACATGGTAATGCTTTTTAGCCATTAACGAAAAGATATATATTAATTTTATAGTTGCGGCATGCGTTTTCTTAGCTGGATGCAGTGTATATATGATTGGAGTAAAGTCGATTTGGTTTTTCATTTTTAAACTTTTTAATTATTGTTCCTTTTAGAAACTATATTCTAATAAGAACAGTCGATACAAAAACGTCAATGGGTTTGGTAGGAATGGGTCACACCTTCGTTCATCTCTCTTTTATCTTTTTTCGTACATTTAGCCCATCAAATGCAACAAACGTGGAGGCAATGGTGCCCACTCCACATGAATTGATAACCCTTGAGTGGGTCCACTAACATTAGCACTTGACATAATGAAAATCTACCATTAAATAGTTTGCACAAGCTAACTGTAGGCGTATAAGTTGTAACCGATTCAAATGAAATCATAGGGAAGCTTTTGTTATTATATCTTTGTATAACTCATTAATGTGGACTTGTCTTTCTATTACTACTTTATGAACTCATAGGACATGAACCAATCATTCATGGACATGCAAATCATACAAGCTAACAAAAACAACTTTCTATTATACATGTATTTGCAACGTAACCAAACCACCACTATGGGCCCTTATTACCAATTTACCATGCTTTAGTTGGTCGAAACATAATTCCATTATTTTTCATTACAATGAAAAGTGATCAACATCAAGGTGAGGGAGCCACGACGGGCATAAAAGCACCAGGAGAGGAAGAAGACATGTGAGAATACCTACAAGGGAAGAAACTATGGAACCACGGGTGGGGACAGTAGTACTTAGGTTTGACAAAGAACTCTCCACATTCTTGAATTGATCTTTGTCCTGGCAAGAAAGGAATGCAATTGTTCTTAACGTCAAGAACACCACTTTCAAGCAAACCCTTACACCAAGGCCCCACGTGTGTAAAATAGTTATCGGACAAGGACAAGTTCACAAGATTGTCTCGGAGCACCATGCACACTGCCTCCGGGACGGCTCCAAACAAGAGGTTCCCAGCAAAGTTGAGATGTTCCACTTTCTCTAGACACATAAGAGAAAGTGGTAAAGGACCCGTGAGCTTGTTCCCACCGATATCGATCACCGATGCTTCTTTGAGTAAACCGATCTCGTAAGGGACACAACCGGTGAAATCATTGTTCAAGAAGAGCACTTCGGTTAACGTTGACATTGATCTTAGGATGCTTCTCGGGAGAGGACCGTTGAACTTGTTGTCGGCTAACGTTAAGAAGAGAATACGACTGTCGTCAGGTATCTCCGGGAGGCTCGCGGTGAAGGTGTTGTCGTTGATGAAGAGGACGTCAAGGCTCTGACCGAAGATTTGCGGTGGAATTGAACCGGAGAAAGAGTTGAACCGGATGTCAAGAAATGTCAAACCGGGCATACCAACTACGGCGGTCGGAAACTGACCGGTGAATTTGTTGTTGCTGATGTCTAGCTCGTAGAGGTACTTGAGATTGACGATCTTGGAAGGGACAGAACCTCCAAAGTTGTTGGAGTTAACATGGAACAGAGCCAAGTCAGGGAACTGGTCGATAAACCCTTCGATGGAGGGAGCAGAGAGCTGGAAGCCATTGAAGTCAATGGAAGCGACAGTGATAGCTGTGTTGTTGTCCGGAGGGTTGTCACAGTGGAAGCCTCTGTAGCTGCAGATGTCCGAGCCAGTCCATGTCTGTGTTACCTTAAAAGGGTCGAGATTGATGAGTGACTTGAACCTCTGGATCACTGGGTACACCACTGCAAGCCTTTGGTCTAAGAAAGTCAGTCTCTTTTCTCCGATGCTGCTTACATCTGGAAATGCCATGGCGCTAACAAGGAGAAGAGCCAAAAGTAAAGCCTTCTTCATCTTAGGAGATGAGAGAAACCTGTTTGAGATAAAGATGAGTCCCTGATTTTGTAGTTTTTAGTGTTTATTGTGCTTTTGCTATTTTTTGTTCTCTCTAGCATGTTTCTTTAGAGGGGTTACTTTTATAGTGTGATTACGCGTGTCGGCCGGAGAAAGTTTCATCCTTTATTAGTTAACAGTGGGATACATACAAAGCCACAAACTTTGTTACCTGCGATTAACATAAAAAGACAGCTTCTTTATATTTTTAACTGCAAAAGGTAAGAACTTGTTACCGGAGCTACAAGCACAAGTCTCTCTCACTCATTACTCTGTCAAGAAAAACCAAAAAAAGTAGTGATTAGTTGGTACTACGCGGCGGTGGCTGTTTCTGATTGATTATGTTGGAACCACTCAGGCGGCCACCACGACGGTCTAACCGCCTCGACTTTCACATCCTCTGAACCATTAACCGTCAATTGAGCCGAATCTTTGAAGGCTTCCTCGACCCTCATAACACCCATTCCCCGGCTACCCAAAGCCGTCGAAACCGTCCCCATTTTCTTGCCCGTTCTTGATTCAACCACTTCCGCTCCAGCTGCAACTTTCTGCGTAAACTCTGCATAACCACCACCAACCATCATGTAAGAACCTAGCAAGTTGGTTTATCTTTTGATCACAAAGAAGTAAAAAAATTCAAAATTACCTTCCTCATTGCTGTCGATAAACCGTAACGGGATTAAGCGTTTGCGGATGACACCTCGGTGGTGAGTACGCGCTATAAGCTCTTGACCAACATAACACCCTTTCTCAAAGCTTATCGCATTCAGACCAACAAAATTATATTCAAGCGGTATCGCTTCCCCTGTGAAAAAGCCATGGAAACATATTTATAAACACACACAGAGAAGAAGAAGAAGACAAAAAGATTCAAACCTTTAGGGATTTCAGCTGATCCTTCAGCTACTCCATGCTCCAATCTCCACAAAAGGTAATTGCTTTCATCTGTTTCTTTATCTGCCTCAACCAATGGCGCTGCAGAACAAAACAAAACCGCAAATTCGTAAGCTTTGGCTAATCATTTCTCAAAGACATACAAGCTTCTAATCCGATTGAGAAGAAAGAATCTTACGGGTTGCATCGGAAGGAAAGATGCTTCTGTAACCGAGACAGTCCAATCTTGGATCCGTATACCATTGCCAACCACACTTGTTACCACTAGCTGTAGATTCACCGGCACGATCAACGCCACCGCCCCAACCAACAGACGAAGATCCAGAGAGATTCCTACCGTAACGCTGCCAACAAGAGAAGTCTTCCGCAACGTTTTCAATATCCACTTTGGACCTCAAGCGATATCTATTAACATTCACAAACTTACGATTCAGAAACAATCCTAAACAAGAAAAATGGTTCCTTTCTTCTAAATCCAATCCACAAGTCAATAAACACTAATCGGAAAAAAGCTTACTTTTTTAGAGTTTCCAGCAATTCATCGAGGACGGAGACATCAACATCTGCAAACAACTCAACCGACCCATCAAGACCCGAATCAGACCCGGGTCCGGAGCCAGTCCGATCGAGCCTCTCCTCCGGTCGCGACGGGCTATACAGGAAAAAATCGTACAGAAACCTGCCTTGAGGAGTTAACAGCGCGGCGTACATAGGCGGCGTCGAAACGGAAGCCATGTTCGGCGTGGGGACCGCCGAGCTTTTCTCGCCGGAGGATTCGCCGAACCTCCGCACATCGTTGGTTAGCAAACCCTGAAGAAACTTAACCGTATCCGGTCCGCTAAACCGGACAACGGAACGGGATTTAAGCCGAGACGCCATCGGGCCGGCATCTTCGAGATCGCTGTGTATCTTCCGGCGGAAAATCGCGGAGGATTTGGAGAGTTCACGACGGAAATTGAATCGAAGCATTTGGAGACTTTGTGTTAGTTTTGTTCTTCGTCTCCGAGGTTAAACCACTGCCTTAGAAGAAGAAGCTCTGAAATAAAGCCACGTGAGCGAGACGTGGCGGTGAAATTGACCGCCGGCTTCTGACACGTGTGGTTTGCTTTGGAAGTGTTCGATGAAATTACACAGAAATGTTTAATAGTTTGACAAATATATCGTCGTATTGGCTACTCGAGTATGCGCCGGAAAAAAACAAGAGGATCAACACAAACCAGACTAGTTCCTTATTGTATTACTCCAAGATTGTTCAAAATCAAGTGATATCTATGCAAAGCTTTTTAAAAAAATACACAATTCATAACTTATGTTAACAAGGTTGATCCATTCAGCATTGGGAGACATCTGAGGTTTGATATATCATTTGACTTCACCCAAAAAAATTACATATTGACCATGAGTCCATGACAAATACTATGTATGTAATTCTTCATTTTTGTTGTTTTTTCTTCCTTTTGGCATTCCTTTTGCAGTTCATTACACAAATTGCAATGATAAATTATCTTTTTCGACAATTCAATCGAAATTCATAGGGCACTATTGTGCAACCACCCGCAAATATAAAAAAAAAAATAGTTAATCAGGAATGAGAAAAACCTGAGCTGGACTCGTAAATAAAATGATCCAAATCAACTACTAGTAAAATCAGCGACGCCACCGCCTAGTACAAGTCCGTGGGGCTTACTAAAGATACACTCAATTCCTCTGGTTCTACTGAAAGATTCCGTCGATGATTTCGAGATTCGTCCAGAGAATTCGGAGACCAATCGCCGAAACCACGTCTCTGGATTCAATCAGAGGTTTTAGCTCGACAAACACTAAACCCACAATCCGAGTAGGCGTTTTCTGGGATCTAGACAACAAACCGCCGGCCTCTTTCCCTCCGTACGATGCGGCCGTCAAGCTCCGAGCCGCCGCGTCGTCTTTCGGCTTCGTGAAACTGATGGCGGCGTACGCGAACCACCACGCCTTCAGCCACGTCCCCGTACAAGTCCGAGAGCAGAGGAAAGAGAGGAAATTGCTCAACCAATTGGAGAACAAGGGTTTAGTGAAACCGCCGGAGCCTTACTTCTGCGGCGTCTGCGACCGGAGATTCTACGCGAACGAGAAGCTGATCAACCATTTCCGGCAGATCCACGAGACGGAGAATCAGAAACGCGTGAGGCAGATCGAGTCCGCGAGAGGGCATCAAAGGGTGAGGCTTGTGGCCAAGTACTCGATGAAGATTGACAAGTACAAGAGAGCAGCGAGGAACCTTTTGACTCCTAAAGAAGGTTACGGTTTAGCGGAGGAGCTGAAGCGAGCTGGGTTTTGGGTGAGGTTGGTGAGTGATAAGCCTGAAGCTGCAGATAGAGCTTTGAAGGAGCATATGGTGGAAGTGATGGATAAGAGAGAAGTTGAGTGTGTGGTTCTTGTTTCTGATGATTCCGGCTTTGCAGAGGTTTTGTGGGAAGCGAAGGAGAGGTGTTTGAGGACTGTTGTGATTGGGGATTTGAACGAAGGAGCGTTGAAGAGAGTAGCTGATGTTGCGTATTCATGGAAGGAAGTTGCGATGGGGAAGGCGAAGAAGGAAGTTGAGAAAGTTGTGGGCAAGTGGAAAGATAGAGATGTGTTGAAGAAGTTGGAATGGAGTTATGATCCTTCGTTGGAGAAAGAGAGAGGCTCTTGTGGCGTCTCTGATTGGGATTACGAGTTTGATCATGATAAGATTGAGAATGGAGATGGTGGTGATTGGTGGGAGATGGATAATAATGAAGATGATGCTGGACCTTCAAGATCTTGCCAATAACATCATTGTTTCTTGTTCTGTGAGATGTAAAATGTAGTCAAGATTCAAGAACAACATAAAGCTAAGTTTATTCATCCAACAAAGATTCGAAAAGAGAAATGAGTTGAAATACCTAACTCATGAAGCTGTACATTGTTACTCAAAATCTACTAACAAATCAAATGAAGGAAAAATCTAAGCAACACAGAAACAATGCAGAGGATACGTGAAATAGCGTTTGTCCATACAACAGTGTGGAGGCGCAAAGAGAGACATAGAGAGAAAGAGAGAGAGAGCTCAACAATCAATTCACCAAGAGCTCTTCTTCTTGTAAAACCCCATGTACCATTTCACAAACTTTTTCAAACCGGTCTCAAGATCAACCGCCGGTTTATAACCGATCTCAGCCTGCGCCAGCGTGATGTTGGCATGAGTGAACTCGACATCGCCGTTCCTAGGCAAAGGCATGGTCTTTTTCTTAGCCTTCATCTTCAAAAGCTTCTCCAGTATCTTGACAAGCTTAGTCACAGGAACAGGCGAAGTATTCCCCAAATTGTAAATCCTAAACATGGCAGGACCTTTCTTCTTCCCACCACTACCACTACTCTTCTCAGCAGTGTCTAACGCACCTAAACAGCCTTTCACTATATCATCAATGTAAGTGAAATCCCTAGCGACACTACCTTTATCAGGAGACTCGAACACCGTTATCGTCTTCCCTTTGAGAATGTCTTTCGTGAAGAAGAAATACGCCATGTCTGGTCTCCCCCAAGGTCCATAGACGGTGAAAAACCTCAGACCCGTAAGCGATAAGCCGTAGATGTGGTTGTAGGTGTGGGCGATTCCTTCGCCTGCTTTCTTCGTCGCTGCGTATAAGCTCGCCGGATGGTCCGTGCGGTCTTTCTCCGAGAAAGGTACTTTCGAATTGAGGCCGTAGACGGAGCTAGACGAAGCCCAGACGATCGCCGGCTGCGGATTCGCCGATTTCGAGACTTCCAGCAGATTCACGAACCCGACGATGTTGCTGTTGACATAGGATCCTGGGTTCTGCATCGCGTAGCGGACGCCGGCTTGTGCGGCGAGGTGCATCACGTGCGTGAAGAGGACGACGTCGAAGAGCTTCCTGAGCAATACGGCGTCGTTTATGTCGCCTTCGACGACGAAGACTCCTGATCTCTCTAGAAGCGCTTGCCTCGCTCGCTTCAGCTTCGGATCGTAGTACCGATTGAAATTGTCGAGACCTAGAACCCCGTCGCCGCGTCTCCGCAGCGCGATCGAGACGTGAGTGCCGACGAATCCGGCTGCTCCGGTGACTAGAACCGTTAAACCGCCGGGAGACCTGGGGTGAGCGGATTTCCGGACTTGCTTCTCCCAGTGAGAGCCGCCGTATTTCGCGGCGGAAACTGATGAGTCGTTGAGATTCCGGCGAGAAGGTGAAGGCGGAGGGGAGAGGACGATGTAGAAGAGGAACAGAGCGAGGAAGATCGAAGCCCAGAGCGTGAGCTTGGAGAGGCGGAGGTAACGGTGGTGGTGGAGAATCCCGTACGGCGTCACTTTATCGCTCTTGTACTTGCCGGGAGTGGAAGGAAGATCATCAAGGTGAGACATTTCCGCCGGAGAGTAACAAATCGGAGAGAATGTCGATTAGGGATTAGGATTTTAGGGTTGTTGGTTTTTTAGAGAGCAAAATTTGAGGAAGTCAAAATGAGGATTTTCCGGGAAAGAAGAAGAGTCGATCTTTTGTACTTGCAATTGATTATCATAAACAACAATAAAAATAAAAATAAATCATAAATTTTTTGTTCAATCTTCAAGTCATGGTAATAATTTAGCTTTCAGAAATATTTTTAGATTGTCGACATCTGTACTCGTATATCATTCTATAACGATCATCATGCATGTACATTTATACACACAATCACGTATATGAATTACGAAATACACTTTTCTTTTTGGAATTGAGTATTTACCAAATATACAAACACGCAATCATCTAAATATTGATAGTTGATCATATGATATTTACCGAATAAAAAATAAAAATGCTAAATTTGTGTTCTCTTGGTGGAAGTAATCTTATGATAAATTAAAGGTTGCTTTTTCCACCAAAAAACAAATTAAAGGTTGCTTTATTTTTTGTTCATGATTGTTATATCTCACCTAACTATTATTTTCAACATTAGACGATTATGTTTTTGTTTTTCTATTCTTAGTCTCGTAACCATTCATTTGATAAGATTCACAAATCTTACAATACCATATAATCTTTGCACCATTGACATTTATCACCTTATATTTATTACAGGCTTTATACCTGACATATCCCAAAATTGATTTCTTTAGATCATATTCCTTTTTCAGGGCAAAAGTATATCTCATTTACTGCCAAAACATTGATCACGCCATATCAAGATTAGGATCTTAAAATCAAGATTGACTTTTGTCCCCTGGCGCTCATTAATTAAAACTTAAGTAACTAGACCGGTAGAACCAAACCGGTTGAGACCAACTATACAATATTGTAGAGACTAGAGAGAGTAGTCGAAACTCGAAACTCGAAAGTAATGTTGCTTATGATAATCCTAATATGGCATGAAGAGAAGACAATTAGAATCGCCACTTTTCCAAGCAACCTTTGATTTGATATCTAAGTTCTTCTTAATTACCATACTTTTCCCCCTAATTTGTCTTCCTCCGGGTACACTGCAATTATAAAAACATTTATTTAGCGTATATAAAGTTGGATACTCATCTTCCTGTTTTGTAAATTTTTATAATGGTCAAATGCAAATATTTTAGTTTATGATTGCTATTTGATTGGAAAAAAAAAAGAGTATAAATGAGTGCTCGTATAAAGAAAAAAACATGACTTGTTTTTAAATCTAAGTTAGAGACATAAATCTGCCTCTAACAATGTTGAAACTTAAAAGTGGTTACAAATTCACATGAAACCTAAAAAGAATCTACCAACTCAACCATATTTATCATGATTCATTTCCCAAGATTCAGTTGCAAGCAATAAATTGTGTCATCTGGTCAAAACCAAATTTTATGCATTCGAAAATATAACTTCAAACGTAAAAGTAAAAGAGCAGTTTGATATAAGTAACTTTATGCATTCGGTAACCCGACCATGATGATCCGATCCCCCGCTTAAGAGAGGAGCTTTTACCAATAACCAAATTTGGGTCATTCCATACAATAAGTCCGAGCAATGGATGCTTTCTTTCTTTTCGACTGAATCTCTCATCCACTCTTCGAAGTGAGTATTTTGTATAGCTAACAGGTGCACAAAGCCTATTGTCTATAATACACTCCTCATCACTCATATTGATGTTCCACTTCCATAGATCACAAAGATATTGACCAAGAATGGGCCTTTGTTGGATATCAAGCCCGTACAATTTACATCGCCCATCACATCAATTCAAGTTGTATTTGATAATTACACTTGGAGAAAAATATGAGATGATTTCATATAACAGAGTTGATTTATACTTGACCACACGACACAATGACAATGTATACGACGACAATATAAAATGGTCGGGGAAAAGTATGATAAAAAGATATTTGAAATCAAATAAAAGATCTTATAGTGAGGCTCTCACTATATTGCCACATATAGTGATGTTTATATTGGCACATATATGACACAGTAAATACCGCACTAGAGGTTTATAACTTTCTACGATTGGACGAATTTGTTTGTCTTTATCTTCCATTGTGAACGATAATATTCCATATGATTAGATATTTTTATTTCATGAATGATTTGTCTATTTCACCGTGAAGTGACGTACTTAAAACTAAGCTCACTTGTACGTATTTTCCTATATAATACGATAACTTATATGATCTACACTCATCAAAGCAACAAAAAAAACAAAAAACGTTTACATGGATCAAAAAACTTTCTTCCGCTTGGTTTTTCTCATAGTCGCAGCTGGTTTCATCATATCTTTCACTTCCACACACTTCTCTCACGCGCCGTCATCCACGACAGGGCTTCTTGACTGCACGTACTCTTCCTCTTCACCTCTCTGTGCATCAAGAAACTTCCTTTTCAACAGACAAAAACGACCCATTCCTAAAAACGATCCAAAACCAAAACCCAAAAGCCATGATCACTCGTCCGATACCCCAAACCACCCTCTCGACCCACTCACGGTAACCGAACTTAAAAAAGTCAAGACAATCCTCTCCTCACACGCGCTCTTCGCCTCCGGTGCACCACACGCGTTTCACACGGTCGTTCTTGATGAGCCAGAGAAGAGTCTCGTCAGACGCTGGAGAAAAGGAAACCCACTTCCTCCGAGGAAAGCTTCCGCCATCGTACGTGTCGGTCTCGACACGCACGTCCTCACCGTCGATCTTTCTTCTGGTTTGGTCGAGATAGAAGGCTACCCGGTTCGTGCCTCGGGTTACCCGATGATGACTATCGAGGACATGAGCGCAGCTACTCTGGCACCGTTCTCAAACGCGGATTTCAACCGCACGATCATCTCTCGTGGAGTTGATCTAAAGGACGTGAAATGTTTCCCGTTATCGTGTGGTTGGTACGGTAAAAAAGAAGAAGAAAACACTAGGGTAATTAAAAGTCAGTGTTACTCGTCTCAAGACACGGTAAATTTCTACATGCGACCCATCGAAGGTTTAACCATTCTCATCGACTTAGACACAAGGCAAGTCATCGAGATTGTTGACACGGGTCGGACCATACCCATACCCGGTTCAACCAATACCGAGTACCGCTTCGAAAACATTGCCACCACCGACAAAAACCGACTCATCAACCCGATATCAATAGAGCAGCCACGTGGTCCAAGCTTCGTAGTCGAAGACAACTACCTAGTGAAATGGACAAATTGGGAATTTCACCTAAAACCTGACCCGAGAGCTGGCATGGTTCTGTCACAGGTGAGAGTACACGACCCGGATACTCAAGAGACACGTGACGTAATGTACAAAGGGTTCGTGTCGGAGCTTTTTGTTCCGTACATGGATCCGTCGGACGCGTGGTACTTCAAGACTTACATGGACGCAGGAGAGTACGGTTTCGGTTTGCAAGCCATGCCACTTGTACCGCTTAACGATTGTCCACGAAACGCAGCGTATATGGACGGAGTTTTTACTGCGGCGGATGGGACGCCGTTTGTTAGAGAAAACATGATTTGTATATTCGAGAGCTACGCCGGAGATATTGCGTGGCGTCACTCTGAAAGCCCCTTCATTGATCTACCGGTTAGTCGCTCCTTGCTTAATGTTTTAAGGTTCAATTTTACATAGAAAATGTTAGTCATAATAAGTTTAGGGTCATAATAAGCTTGTTGAAACAAAAGTGTAGTGGTCATTGTAAGCTAATTAAAAAGCAGTTTAGTGTGATCATAATAAGCAGATTGAACATTAAAAACAATTATCTCTAAACTCACTCCATTTTCTACTGCAATCACTTTTATAATAAAATACTTTTTAATCCTACTTCGATTTCCACTTTATCCCTCTGTGTTGAAGTGGATTTGTTTTTTTTTCTTTATAACTTGATCCTCAATTTATTTTAATTTATAAATTTTGTTAATTTTATTAAATGTTAGAAATATAATACATTTTAGAGTTCAAAATGGAGTGATATATTGGAAGTGCTCCTAAAAAGAGTTGTGATTTTTAATTGAGCAGATAAGGGAAGTGAGACCAAAGGTGACGTTAGTGGTACGAATGGCAGCTTCAGTAGGTAATTATGATTACATCATTGATTATGTGTTCCAAACAGATGGGCTTATCAAAGCTAAGGTACTTTTCTACCTTACACTTATTTTTCCAAAAATAAAGATTCCTTAAGTTTCCTTAGAATAATGAAATATTCACTATTTCTGTCACAAATCACACAAATATTGTATATGGGACCATCATGAGTAGGTTGGACTTAGTGGAATCCTAATGGTGAAAGGGACAACTTATCAAAACAAGAACCAAGTAAACAAAGATAAAGACGGTAAAGAAGAAGAGCTTCACGGCACGCTTCTATCTGAAAACGTAATCGGAGTAATTCACGATCACTATGTCACTTTTTACCTTGACATGGACGTGGATGGCCCGGATAATTCCTTTGTTAAAGTGAATTTCAAGAGGCAGGAGACCGAGCCTGGCGAGTCTCCGAGGAAGAGTTACATGAAAACGGTTAGGAACGTTGCGAAAACAGAAAAAGATGGTCAGATTAAGCTTAGTTTGTTCGATCCATCTGAATTCCATGTCATCAATTCTGCTAAGACCACTCGTGTTGGTAACCCTACGGGCTACAAGATCGTGCCTAGAGCCACAGCGGCTACTCTACTTGACCCTGATGACCCGCCGCAGAAGAGAGCAGCTTTTACCAATAACCAAATTTGGGTCACTCCATACAATAAGTCCGAGCAATGGGCTGGTGGTTTGTTCACTTATCAAAGCCAGGGTGATGATACTCTTGAGGTTTGGTCCAACAGGTGATTCTTTAACTGAAAAATACTAAATATTTTAATCATAGGTAACATTTGATTGTTTTATTTAATGCATTATTGGTTGTTATGCAGGGATAGAGACATAGAGAACAAGGATATAGTTGTGTGGTATACACTTGGCTTCCATCACGTTCCATGTCAAGAAGATTTTCCGATAATGCCCACGGTTTCTTCGAGTTTTGATTTGAAACCCGTGAATTTCTTCGAGCGTAATCCAATCCTTAAGGCCGCTCCAAACTTTGAACATGACCTTCCGGTTTGTGGAGCTAATTCTGTTTCTGCCTGAGGAGAGTGAAGTAAGAAATAAATGGTTCTCTCTCTTACATAGGTTGTTCATGGCACTCTTAAGTTCAAAACAATGTTTATTATGTGGTTTAAACAAGTAATTGGATACATATATGTAAATGTCAACGTATCTGCCGTCAAAAAAAACTTTGCATATGTGTATGTGTATATATGAGAATCCATACAAGTGGATTTATGTATGTTAATATATGCTATTATATAGTTGAGTAACGACGATTTTATTTGCTAGCGTTCAATATCTTGTTAGTTGGCAATTGGCTTTTGTAGCTTAATTTTTGTTTCAGTAATTCTGATGTATTTTTTTTTATACTGTCATTTTTAGAAAAAAGGTTCAGAGTCTCTCTATAGAGGCAAAGATTGTTACATTCTGCAATTCCTATATTATGCTCTCCAAGAAAATTATTACCGCGTTCTTTGTATTTCTGGAGGTTTTATAACAAAATTAAACATAAGTTTTGCTAACTATAGCAAAATTATTTAACCAGGACCACTGGATTTACTTAAATGTTGTTGAGTTTTCTTTCTTTATTAAATCAAAGATGGGTGGTGAATATGATGATTGATGACGCATATCAGTACCATTACTTATAAAGTTTTCCTGTAAAAGTTAGTATTATTAGGTGAGACAAGGACCCCTAAGAGCACCCGCATTGCAGAACAGCAATGCAAGCTCTTTAATTTTTTTTAATATTAAATATATTAATAAAATAATTGTGGAGTTTTTGTGGAAAATTTTAGAGCTTTGTCTCTACATTGCACAATCAAGAAAGGGTTCTATAAAAGTTTGATTTTTTTTTTCTTTCAATGTTTTAGAAAACTGAAGAAAATAAAAGAATCAGAATATTATTGATAAATAAGGGAAAATACACACAACATTAATAAAAAGGAAAGTGCAAAAAGAAAAAAAAAACCGTCCATTTGTGCAGCTCCAGTAATCATATTCTGAAAGTTAGCAACAGAATCATTAAGGCTCAAGCGTTTATCAAAATGTTTCAAAGGAAATCCATATACTGATGCATGTTACTCCACCAAACATTTCACTTATGCTTATGCTACATTATGATGCATTTCACAAAGCTCTAAACACTACATTAGAGTTGGCAAACAGTTTCCAGCTGAATTTCTCATCAACGCTTTGGCATTGACAATCATTTTTGGAAGTTTTGTATCACAAATTAGCTAAAAGAAATGTAGAAAAGAAGCACCTCTGTGATCGCAGCAGTTAAAGTAGTCTTCCCGTGATCTACATACTGCGATAAGACCAACAATAACACAGATTAACAAACAGAAAAGTTCATTTTCAACTTCTGCTAACGCAAGCTCCAACCAAATTCAAATCAAGGAAAAAAAGGAAACAAAACTCACTTTCGAGTAAAAGTAGCCATCGATCTCCAGAAGGAAGTCCCGAAGCTTGTGGAAGAGAGATCATCTCCTCCGATTGAGTGAGAGATCGAGTAAGACGAAGGAATGGAACCACCGCAGCGCGAGTAGATCTGGGAAGAGACAATAGATACACGATTGACACAAACCTTATCTGACATTCAAATACACAGCAGAAATCAATAAACTTTGCATCTAATCCAATGTGAAAGACAATAGATACACGATTTACCAAAATGTTTTCGAAGACACTCAAATGAAATCTCTTCAATCAGATACTCAAATCAACTCATAGAAATGGAATCACAGAGTCACAAACCTGACACATGACAGGAATCGATCGAGATCGGAGACACAGGACAGGAATTATCGAGATCGTAAAAGAAGATGTCTCTGTGGTGGCGAAGAAGAAGAAGAAAAACGTCGGGAGAAAAGAGACCAAGGAGAAGGAGAAGAACACTAACGTCGATCAACGACGAGAAAATCAACCGGCGATCGAAGAAGAAAGAATTCGAGCAGCCGTTCGGATCGGAGAAGAACGAAAAAAGAAAACATAACGAGAAAATAAATTATGGCGGTTCTCTCTCGTGCCGACATGTGGCAAATGTGGCAAGTAGAGGCGTCTCTACAAGTTGTTCTGCCAGAGACGTCTCTCAAATTTATTTGGGCCAGATGTGTAATTTTTTCATTTAATCTTTATTTTTTAAGAGTAGAGTCGCAGAGAAATCCTGCAATGCGGATGCTCTAACAAATTACATTTATGTGTAAACATGTAACGAACATAGATTTTTTTAAGACATGACATGTGACATCTTTATATGTAGTAGAAATACTAGGGAGGTTCTATTTTGTATAGTTGTAATTGTACTAATTAATATGCATAACACCTTTGTTTTTCTGCTCTCGTCAATTTAACACTCAATGTTGTTTCATGTACTGATGACCACACAAATGGTATCTTTTGCTACGAGCCTACAGTACAGTTTAACTTACATATAAAGAAAATAGATCATACAAATTAATAATTGACACAACCTACTAACCTAGTCACTGTCCCTATAATAGTGTGGTTAGTGACAAAAAATGAATATTCATTATTCCAAGGTATCTTTTGGAATATATCTTTTATTTTTCCGAAAATGATTCATAGGCCTTGATTGTTTTGTAGTTGTAGATATTTAGCTTTCATATAGAAAATGATGTAACTGTAGGGAGTTGCCATCCGTACCAGTAACGTAGCGTTCGGTCTCACTTCCCTTATCTGCCCAATCAAAATCTTAATTAAGTTATCTTAAAACAAGAAACCAAGGACTGACCAGTAAACCGATGATTGGGTTTTTCTAGTGTTGCCACCCAATCTCTCTATCATAACTCTCGAAGACACAAACCATGTTTCTAGCTAAGCACACACCAAACCAGATTACTTGGTAGGTTCTGTGAATATAAATATGGTAAAATCCAAGAGAAACTTATACAAACTAGGAAAAATTCATATTCTTGACGATCCATCCAGATGAAGATCTTGGTAAAGACGATCTCAAAGTTTTCCCTTGAACAACCATAAACTAAGACAAACTATGTGGAATATGCTTACCATACGAAATGGTATCTTTTGCTACGATCAAGTTTAACTTACATATTTTTATTTATAAAATAATGTCACTACATTAAGGCAAATATCCGTTTAGAGTTTTTTTTCATTAATGTGTGAACAAATGCTTACAAACCTTTAAGACCGGTATTTAGAGAAACTTGCTGTTGGGTAGTTTTTAAGTTTTAAATTAGACATGTGGGTGCGTCTGAGTTTTAATTGTAAAACAAGGTGCATCACTGTTTGAGGCTTAATATGAGCCCACAAAATTTAAAGTTATTTACACCATTGCCATTGGATTTATTTAAATCAAAAATCAAAAATTAAAAGAGTATTTGCATCCAGGAGCAAGTATTTTGGGTGAAATTAGTTTTTCAACAAGATTGTATTATTGTCGTATAATACACCGTATTTCGCCATACATTTTCTCTAAAATAACCTTACTCGCGTACAGAAGCATTTAATTAATCTGACCACTGCATTGAAAATGGATTTCTCTTTCCTCTTTCATGTTTTCTCTCCCTGCTTTCTTTTTCAATCTTCTTCTTCTTCCTCCGCCATGAACTCTTTCTCCGTGCTCCTCCTTCTTCTCTCTTTCTTGATTTCAAATTAATGTTTTTTTTTTCTTTTAGCTTCTGTTTCCAGAAACCAGATCTGGATGACAAGAGGAAAATAGAGAGATCGAATCAAACACCGTGATAAAGCGGTCTCGACGGCGGAAGAGTCTGACCGGAAAACAGATTAATACCCAAGTTCACAACTTTCGGCGAATAAACAGGCGAGGAAGACGAGAGAGCTAAGTTAGACTCGTGATGAATGGGTGACAAAAATCCAAATCCCGATCTGGTTATAAGGTGGAGGCCATGGTGATTACAATTTACAAGTGAGTTACTCAATTAGTGGGGCTCAATTTACAGCGTATCAATATATATGTATATTAGTAGCATGTTATGTGTAAATGTACATGTAAATATTAACTAAATAACACGGTATTATTTTTCATTACAAGTTAACATATTGATTGCATGGTTATATATTATTATACATATCTATGAAACTTTATACCTACATACAAATATACGTGTAAATTATTAAATAACTTGTTATGTATTTTTATTACATGTTAACATATTAATTACATGGTTATAATATAATGTGTAGTTATATGTACATTTGTAAATTTATATGGTTATAATATATCTGTTAAAATATAATTTGTGTAGTATGTACTTCTGTAAATTTAAATCTTTAATTTTACATCTATTGAAATATTTAAATCATTGTAATTTTTTCATAATTTTTTTATTTGTATGTGTTATTTTATTATTAATTTAATAAAGGAAAATCAATTAATGTGAAGAAAAGGCATTAAATGTCTATCCATTCAAGTCAATGCACAGTTTCCCCACTCTCTCCTACGCGCGTGTATACGGTTTCAACAGCTATACTTGGGTACCCTTTTGCTATTTACTTAAAACAATATGTCATCTTGTTAAAAAACTAAGTAAGGGTCAAAATCTTGCCATACAACAAATTCACTCAAATTAAAATTACCCACTTCGAATGGATTGGTGGGGAAGGAAGTTTGGAACATTTGTTTTTAATTTTTTATACATTTATTACATGATTCGAATATTGTGGCCCTCTCTAAATAATGTTTTTTGTTCAAATAGTACTTATTTGTTATTTCCCTTGATGGCTTCTGGTGTTCTTGCACATTGCCATTGTAACTCAATTTCAAATTAATATATTTGTTTTGTAGAAAATAAGTTAAAAACATTCGTTTTCAAAAAAAAAAAAAAAAACATTCGTTTTCAATACTACTCAAAAGTGATTTTCTTACAATAATTTTTTTTTGTTTTTAATGTTTTAAGTTATTTGTGAGCGTTGGACTATGGCTTTCTATGCACTTAATTTAGCCATGTTGGTATGTCAAAGAGATCAATTTTTATCAAATGCAATTCAGACTTTTTTTCAATTGCTTAATGGCTGGAATATTACTAACTAACAAAAAAAGAAATTTTTTATATTTTTTTTATTCAAACAAAATTACTTTGTAATAAAAGTTACAATATAATCTAAATCTTATAGTCTAATTTCAGTTAATATCCCCAAAAAAGAATTTGTTTAAAAAGATTTTAATCCTAAAATACTTATTTTAATTAGAAATCAGTGAACCTAAAACATATCTTGAAATACCATTAAAACCATTTTTTTCATAGATTTGTTTTTTAAATAGACAACCATAATATTTTTTATTAAGTCATTTTTTTTTTACATTTACTTAAACACAAAATTACATATATATTATTCTCTATAGTTTAAATTCATGGTTTACAGATGCGTACACTACTGATGTGTACACTACTGATGTGTACACTACTCATGCGTACACTACTGATGTGTACATTACAGATTCATTCCTGATGTATACACTAATAAGGTGTGAGTACATTATTATTGGTGTACATTAATGTTAATAATAAGCTTAATCCATTATAGTTTGCATATAGGGTAGTTTTTATGTTTTTATTTGTTTTTTGGGTGGGTCAATGTTTTAATTAGAAAAGTGGGTAAAAGCAAGTTGGACCAATGTTTTTCAGATGGGTATAGCCCTCTTTCTTAGAGAGAGACAGAGTGAATTGAAACAGGGGGTAGAGAGAGACATAGACATAAATATTTGCCACTTTCACGTGCGTTTCACGCAGCGTGAGATGAGAAGATGTTTGATGGGGCCCAGTTTGTCATAAGATATGCCATAACAATATCACTAAATTTAAAAAAGAAATATTTAGTTGAACAACGTTGATTATGATTGGATTTAATTCATCTCATATACAACATCCAATAATACTTTTAAGACTCAAATTAATAAAATTTTGGGTTGAATTGATTAATCCATATTAGTATCTAGTTTTGAGTTAAAAAAGTTTCCATTTTATGAAATGTTAACGAGAACATGATATATATAATTTTGATTAAATGGTAACATTATAATTTTTCTAATATGCTAAAGGAAAACTAAAATGAATTTTCAACAAATAATAGTATACTTTTACCTTATTATACGGTGTACACATTAGTCATGTACACTAAATATTTAGTGTACACCATAAATTAAGTGTACGTGTTATATGGTATACACCGAATATTTAGTGTACGATGGTGTACGCACAAAAATATTAAACCAGAAATGCTAAACCATAAGGAAACAATTAAAAATCTTAAACCAGAAATATTAAACCTTAGTCAAGGATTGATGAACCCATGAGAAAAAAAAATCATATATCCTAAATCCTAAATACGAAACCCTAGTCAAGAATTGGTGAACCCATTGAGAAAAGTCATAAAATCCTAAACCCTAAATACTAAACCCTAGTCAAGGATTGATAAAACCATCGGAAAACAAACATAAATCCTAAATACTAAATCCTAGTCAAGGATTGATGAACCCATAGGGAAAAATCAGAAATCCTAAACTCTAAATACTAAACCCTAATCAAGGACTGATGAACCCATGGAGAAAAGTCATAGATCCTAAACCCTAAATACTAAACCCTAGTAAAGGATTGATGAAACTATAGGAAAACAATTAAAAAATTTAAAACCTAAACCCTAAATACTAAATTCTAGTCAATGATTAGTGAACCTATGAAAAAGTCATAAATCTAAAACCCTAAATGATAAATCTTAATTAGTTAAGGATTGGCAAATACATGGAAAAATATTATAGTGATATGAAGTTTAGAGATTATATCTTTAATATATTAAAAGAGAAAACACTAACTAAATAACCTTTGTCTAATGTGTTATTAACAAGAATGTCATTGCTTAGGTGTCATCACTAGGTTCACTCTTAGAGCAATTTCTAATTAAGACAAGCTTTACTAGACAAATTACAATATATGCCATTGCATATTATGCTTACAACCAAATAATGAAATTAAATTTATCATTCTCTTTCCTTAATTGGCAACTACGAAAATTAGTAAATAAGGAAGATATGAGATTCAATTTAATTCATCATAATAATTTCTTTTAAAATCAGTATACATCTTCTATCATCTTTGTTTAAATTTATTTAATAAAATAATTTGAATCACAATATAAAAAATCTATCAAAAAAAATCTAAAACTTTTTCTGTACATGTTATGATTTGAATTTTTAAAAACAAAATAATATAAATTGTTTCGTATATAACCTCATTTAGTAGGTATCCAAAGGTAATTTTTTTTTCATTTAATATGGTTTTTTAATTAAAATCTATAATTAAATCGAATAAAAAAGTTCTTTTTATAAATATTTTATTTTGATTAAACTTTTGAATATTACTCTATCTGTTTCAACTTTCTATACAAAATTAATTATATTTTTGCTGTTTTGACAATTTGGATTCTGCATATTATTTTCTGATTGGTTGGATTGTTTTGAAATTATAATAAAGCATGTTTTAGTTTTGAAAGAAAGAAAAAATTAGTTCTAATCCGTGTCCACACAGCTAAAACTTTTTATCTTATGAAATACATGATGTATAATTTTTCTAAAGAATAATGTTTTATTTTCAATTTTTTTCTTTAAACTATCTTATTATATTATAGTTATTTGAGTTTTATGTATCTCGGTTAAATCTATCATATTTAATATGTGGTTACGATCAATGCTTTAATTTTTTTTTTTGGATTAAAATGCCTAATTTCCATACTATAAACGAATAACAAAGGTTAAAAATCTCTCGCATAAAATGTCGAAATATTTAAATATTTTTAATAAAAATACAAATTCAGAAACTATCACCCCGTGCAGGGCACGGGTCAAACCCTAGTTTAGATTTAAAGTTTAAGATTTCAAAACCTAAATTTAGTTTTGGCCAATTTTTATATATACCACTAAAACCATTTTTTTTTTAATAGCACATTTTTTCAAATGAACCCCATAACATTTTTTTTATTTAAGTCCGTTTATGGTGTATAGGTCAATATATGGTAAACCAATATATGATCTAATACTTATAGTTATCTTTAAAACATTAATAAATAAATAAATATATATATATATATATATCATTTACAAGAAATAATTGTATATTTATACATTATTATACGATATATGCATTAGTAATGTACACTAAATATTTAATGTACACCATATTTAGTGTATGTGTTATAGATTACACTAAATATTTAGTGTAGTGATGTACACATGAAAAGTATGTTATGTGTTATATAATGTATACAATAGTATGTTACTATATATAATGCATGCCACTAATTTTAGTGATACGAAATTTAGAGATTCGATTTAGGTTTAAAGTTTAAGGTTGAAAATCTTTTTTTTTAAGGTTGAAAATCTTAAATTTAGTTTTGGCCAATTTTTTTTGTCTTCGTTCGACCTCATGATCAAATTCTAATCTAATTGAAATATTTAATAACAATATCACCTTAATCTAACACAAGTCTCAGAAAGAAGAAGTCTTCAAGTCCGTCAGGTCCGTCAGAATGATTGTCAGAGTCGGTCCGATCCAGACCTTCGATATATTTGCTTCTTAACCTGCACCAGAAGCAACCGCCGCCACAGATATTGAATGCGTTTCGTCGCGCTGAAACCTCCTCATCCCTTCCTTGTTCTCCTCGCTTCTAGCAACCGCCGTCGCATCCTCGATAATTCAGCTCCGCGAGTCCTTTACGATCAGCGAGAAAAGTGGAATTGCGCCTAGCAAAATCATTAACTATCAGAATATACAATTATTCTATGTAGACACATTGATTTCATGAGTCACACTTCTTCGATGTGCATTGCAAGTAATAAAAATTTTAACAAAAGTACAAGACAATTGATTTGATCGAGAAAGGAGGTAGGAGAGAAGAAGAAAATTAATTTAAAGAAAAAAAGAATAAATGTAATGACATTGTGGTTATTACATTAGAATGGGAAGAGTGTAAATTAAAGCCAGAATAGTGTTTTACCCAGTTTCCCAATTAAAACATTGACCCACCCAGTTCCACAATTACAAACACAAAAACTACCTATTAACATTGACCCATCCAGTTCCACAATTACAAACACAAAAACTACCTATCTGGCAAGTTTGCCCAAGACTCGATTCCTATGTAGTAAAAATTTGTAATTCCTTAGCCTACGGTACCGTGATTTGATCTCGTTCGTGAGTTCTAAATTCTAATTACATCAACAGTGCATTGTGGATTAATCCGGTTACAGTTTGGAGACAGAAGCCTGACGTGGTTCTTGTTTCGATTAGTTGTCCCTTTCACTATTTGTATTCCACTAAGTCCAATCTAGTCGCTATCTCCATAATTGTGTGGTTAGTGATTTAAAAAATGTATATTCATTATTCCCCGGAATGTTTTTGGAATCTTTAATTTTCTTTTGTTCAGATAATGATACGAAGGCCTTGATTGTTATGTAGTTTTTTTATATTTCATTTAAGCACATCAGTTTGGAACTCATAAATTAATGACGTAATCGTTGTTATTATTTGCTGAAGCTGCCATCCTAACGTAGCATTTGGTCTCACTTCCCTTATCTGCTCAATTAAAATCGTAAGTTTAATTTTCGTAAACCATCAGTTTTTCAGTCTACTTATTACAACCCCAAAACTTTTTTTTATATAAATTTGGACCCTAAAACAGAGAAGCAAATCATATTTATGTTTGTTTCATCAGCTAAGCGCACACCTAGACCAAATTACTTGCATTAACTCTGTAGAATATGATTATGGTCAAAACAAGAGAGACTATTACAAAGGAGAACTAGGACAAATTCATATTCTTGATGATCTAGATGAAGATCTTGGCATAGACGACCTCAAAGATTTTTCTCGAACAACTAACTAAAATATTAAAATAGATATAAAGAAACAAACATTCTTATCATCCTTAATTTTCATGGAGAGCATAATATAACAATTGCAAAACTTAATAATATTAGCTTCTATAGATAAAGATTCGAACCGGACAACCTAGGAACGGGCAAGGCAACAAGAGGTGTCTTAAGCTTCAAAACAATTCCAAACTTCTCTTCCAAATCCACCATGTGACCGTCCGGAATCTTCCAATCGAAAGAGTGCAATAGCGTCGCAAGAGTGTACAAAACCATCCTCTCAGCGAGTGCTACACCAGCGCAGATTCTCCGGCCAGATCCAAAGGGAAAATAGGTATAATCGTTTCCAGTGAAATCAAACTGTTTATTATCAAGAAACCTCTCAGGATGAAACTCAGTTGGATTCTCCCATACGTTTGGGTCTCTCTGAATACACCAAACATTGACAAAGATCTTCGTGTCTTTAGGAACGGTGTAGCCTCCCACCACCGCGGTTTCAGCCGGACGGTGAGGAACTAACAAAGGAAGAGTTGGGTGAAGCCTAAGTGTTTCTTTCATAATGGCTAATATGTAAGGAAGTCTAGTGATGTGTGATTCTTCAACGATGTTGTCTTTGCCTACAACTTCGTCTAGCTCTTGTTGCGCTCTCTTGATCAACTCTGGTTTGCTTATTAGCTCTGCCATCGCAAACTCTATTGTGTTTGTAGATGTATCCGTGCCACCAACCACCATATCCTTCACATTGATATATAACAAACACATTGATCAAATCTTTTCTCATGAACATAAAAATATTTATATATTCTTCCTTTATTTTCATCTGAAGGTCATACTAATCCACATAGCATGCAGCTGCCATCTAAAGTCTAAAGTAGCCAATGGTCTAATCGATAATCCACAAAAAAGACAGAATGATTTTGAAATTCCGTATAAAGTTTTATCGATAAATAACTATAATATATTTTGGTAGTATAACAATGAAGATCTCTAATCAAAATAGCCTACGTTTGACATCTAAATATATTTCACTTTCACGAATGTAAATGCTATTATCCCAAATGTGAAAAGTGTAAAATTATGAAACTGAAACCATTTAATTACCGTGAGTACGGCTTTGACATGGTTATCCGTAAAACGGACCTCCGAGTCACTTTCTTGGTCTTTTAACTTCATCAAGTATTGCAAAAAGTCTTTGGACTCACCATCATCACCATCATCACTTCTTTTTAGCCTTTGCATATGTTCGATAGCTCGCTCAAGTACCGCATCGAGCTTTTGCGCGCACACACGCGTCCTCTTCACAAGCCCTTGAAGATCGATCCTCGCTAGCCACGGAAAAAAATCCGAAACATTAGGCTCACCCAAAAGACTAGTTACCTCAGAGACCAATCCTTTAAACTCTGTCCCAACGCTCTCCATCTCCTCTGGTTTCACCGAACCTCCCCACAACATATTCATCGTTAGATTCATCATCGTCACGAAAATCTGTTCCCCCACGTTCACCGCCGATTCTTCTTGACCTTTCTTGTACAAAAATCTTGTTCTTTCCCTGACTTCTTTGCGTCGAAGCTCGTAGAAAGAATCCAAAGTCTTGCGGCTAAGAAGTTTGAGAACGCAAATTTTTCTAACCCTTCTCCATTCGGCACCGTATGGTAACCAAACGATGTCGAGACCGCCGTAAGTAGCGGCACGGCCCGTGAGAGGGACGTCTCGGTTTGAGAAATTGATGTCTTGATCTTTCAAGATCTCTCGAGCCAGCGATGGAGAGTTGACCACGACGGTTAGTTTTGAGCCGAGGTTGAGTTTGAAGATCGGACCGTGCTTTTGAGCGATGGTTGTGAAGTAGGTGTGAAGCTCCGGATCAAGAAACGGAAGGTTGCCGACAATAGGTAGCCCTCGCGGTCCGGGCGGTAGAGGCGGTTGCGTTTGGCGTTTGGAGAGGTACCAGAGAATCGAGAAGATTGCGGTGAGGATGAGAATTGCATGAGGAGTGAGATTGATTGTATTGTCGGCCGTGAAGATGTTTGAAATCGGAGACATTTTTGGGCAACCGTTTTGAAGAAAGTGTGAGAGATTAAACATAGGAAAGTGTTCTTTACGCTTACTATTATAGATTAATAATGGGCAAAGTCAACCATGAACTCATGAATAAGACACAATTTTTCTTGTCAAGCTTGTGATGATAACTTTTGAGCGGATGTTACAATGTTCTTAGAATACTTGGATATTTTATCAAAAATAAATTTTGGATTTATATGGGCGTAAAATAAAAGATACTTTTATTGGAGCATGCAGTATTTTGTTCTGTGTATTATACAGAAGAATCTGTACTAACAAAAATGATGTTACTTGATCAGTGGTGGTACTATTTGCATCATCATAGATTCATAATAACCACCAACCCACCCAATAATCATTACAGAAATACAAATTGCAACAGATTGACCCTTATTAATTCTGTCACAATTATCTGAGTATATGGCCTAAATTCATCCTAATCATTATTGCATTTCAACTTTTTTAACACAATTAAATAAAGCGCGACAACTCCATAAATACAGATCCGGTAATAATTTATTTGTTTGTATAATACAAGATTTGCCAAATATGATGATCTTAATTAGCTTCTATAGATAAAGATTAGAATCGGACAACCTAGGAACGGGCAAGGCAACAAGAGGAGTCTTGAGCTTCAAAACAATCCCAAACTTCTCTTCCAAATTCACCACGTTACCATCCGGAATCTTCCAGTCGAACGAATGCAACAGCGTCGCAAGAGTGTACAAAACCATCCTCTCAGCGAGTGCTACACCAGCACAAATTCTCCGGCCAGATCCAAACGGAAGAAAACTAAAATCGCTTCCAGTGAAATCACAAGACTTCTTGTCAAGAAACCTCTCTGGAAGAAACTCAGTTGGATTCTCCCACACGTTTGGATCTCTCTGAATAGACCATACGTTAATGAATATCTTAGTGTCTTTAGGTACGGTGTAGCCACTCACCACCGTGGTTTCAGCCGGACGGTGAGGCACTAACAAAGGAATGGTTGGGTAAAGCCTAAGTGTTTCTTTCATAATGGCTAATATGTAAGGAAGTCTAGTGATGTGTGATTCTTCAACAATGTTTTCTTTGCCTACAACTTCGTCTAGCTCTTGTTGTGCTCTCTTCATCAACTCAGGTTTGCTTATTAGCTCTGCCATCGCAAACTCTATTGTGTTCGTTGATGTATCTGTACCACCAATCACCATATCCTTCACATATATAAAACAAAATCAAATTACTCCCATGATTCAAGAAACATATATATTCTTGTTTTTTTTTTCACTATTGAAAAATAAACTTTCCTCCCAATGTTTATATTCTAAAAATATGAAACTCAAAACCATTAATTAATTACCATGAGCACGGCTTTGACATGGTTAACCGTAATGGGAACTTCCGAGTCAGCTTCTTGGTCTTTTAACTTCATCAAATGTTGCAAAAAGTCTTTGCATTCACCATCATCGTCATCACTACTTTTTAGCCTTTGCATGTGCTCGATGGCTCGATCGAATATAGCATCGAGCTCGTGAGCACACACACGCATCTTCTTGACAAGCCCTTGAAGGTCAAACCTCGCTATCGACGGGAAGAAATCCGAGACATTAGGCTCACCCAAAAGCCTAGTTATTTCAGAAACCACTCCCTTAAATTCTGTTCCAACACTCTCCATCTCTTCTGCTTTCACCGAACCTCCCCATAACATATTCATCGTTAGATTCATCATCGTCAAGAACAACTGATCTCCAACGTTCACGGGAGACTCTTCTTGACCTTTCTTGTACAAATATCTTGTTCTTTCTCTGATCTCTTTGCGTCGAAGCTCGTAGAAAGAATCCAAAGTCTTGCGGCTAAGAAGCTTGAGAACACAAACTTTTCTAAGCATTCTCCATTCGGCACCGTATGGTAACCAAACGAGGTCGAGACCGCCATAAGTAGCGGCTCGAGCCGTGATGGGCACGTCATGGTTTGCGAAGTTGATGTCTTGATCTTTCAAGATCTCTCGAGCCAACGATGGAGAGTTGACCACGATGGTTAGTTTGGAGCCGAGGTTGAGTTTGAAGATTGGACCGTGTTCTTGAGCGAGTTTTGTGAAGTAGGTGTGAAGGTTCGGGTCAAGAAACGGGAGGTTTCCGACGATAGGTAGCCCTCGCGGTCCAGGCGGTAGAGGCGGTTGCGGTTGGCGTTTAAAAAGGTACCAGAGAACCGAAAAGATAGCGATGAGAATGAGAACTGCGTAAGGAGTAAGAGTAATCGTGTCGTCAGCGAAGTGATCTGAGATCGGAGACATTTTTGACAGCTGTTTGTAAAAATTATTAGACTCACAAAAGGTGTTTTACGTATAATGGTATTTCTATACGGTTACAACGTATACATTTCAGCTTCACTGTTTATATATAACAATACTGTATATAACAAAGAAAGTCTTATTTTTTTTATTTTTTATTTTTTATATTGGGAAAGCCAATCCTGAATAATGATAACATTTGAGCGGATGATATACTTTGCATTGCTAAAAAGTTACATGTAAATAGTTCATGAAAACGAATACATTTTTCTATGGACCCAAAATATTGAAAATTTTGAAGCCATTAAAAACAACAACAAAAATCTCTCGTTCTGGACCCAGTCAAGATTGTTTGATAGAGAGTTGTGAAATAGTGATCATTGTCTAGACTCTAGATCGTTAAATACAGTTTCTGATAATATATATTTTTGGAGGTGACTATATCTTTACGTGTCTATTCTTAGGATCTCCATGAATCGCCCAAATATACTAATTTGTCACTAGTGAAAAAACTTCAGATTTCCACATTTAATTTAAAAACCAACATTTTTACCGAGATCCAAAGAGGGGAAATCTCTGTTCAAGAGAAAAAGTGGATATATTTTGAAGATATCCAAAACAGTAAATCAAGAACAAGGTTTAATCTCATGAATATAATCACAGATTCTGCTTATTTGTTCTTTTTAACAAGTTCATGCTTCTGATCATTCACAAGATCTTCTCAGAAAAGTAGAAAAACAATCTTCTCTTCTCATCTCAAAAACTCTTTTTTTAATCTCTACTTTTCCTCAGAAGTCACTGGCTTTGCGAAACGGCGTGAGCAATTCTCGAAAATCCTAACCAAACCGCTACATTTCAGCTGGTCGTCAATATTCTCTCTGAAGCATTTCATCAACGCATCGTGTTGCGACGAGCAAGGCATTGGTTTCGGCTCCGGGATCTTGAACTCGTTCTCCCTAAGATACTTGGCTCTCTCCGTCACTTCGTCAGCAATGCTCTTCTCCTGTTTCTCCAGCTTCTCAAGAACCTTCTCGCTCTCTTTCAGAACGGATCTTATCGACTCCAACTCTACGCTTGCTCCTGCTGCTGCTGCTTGTTGTTGCGGTATCGGGAAGAAAAACGCTGGCTGCACCGGTGGTGTTTCCGCCTTTGGAGTTGGTTTCTCTGCTTCGTGGTGGTCGTGGTGTGTTCTCGCTTGATCAGTCTTGCTCCGTTGTGAGACTTTCGGTTTGGTTCTTTTAACCTTCCTCTTCGGTTGCTCGCTCTCTTCAGCTAACTGTTTGATCAGCTTCGAACTGATCTGGATCGAGAAATCGCCCATAGTACCAAAGTTTAAAGAACCCTGGAAGACGAAAATTCACATCAAGAAACACATAATGTAACTTAGTAAACAAACACATATTTCTGCTTACAGGAATTCAAGATCTTGAAATCAAAGAAACAAAACACAGAAACGGAAAGCAAAACAGATATGTAATCAAACGCTAGCATCTTCTCATAGCATTACAACGCAAGTTGACTCTTTTCAGATGAAGATTCATCGGAGATATACATACTGAGAATGAGAATGAGAATGAGAAGTAATGCTTAAATTGGCCATATCAACAACGACACTATCAACACATGAGTACCAAGAAATTAAACATAAATGTTTAGAAGAAGCTATAAGGACTGGAAATCTTAAGCCTGGAATGAGTTTTCAACACATGTATATACAGAATGTGACTAAACTCTAAAGCAATGTTTATGAGTCTCCATAGCTTCAACAAGCTGTGGAACTGGAAAAATCCGATAAAGAAAATGTTTATGTATGTTGAATCTAATCAAATTGCATGTTTCAGAAACTTCTATTCGTAAACACTAATTCAGATTCGGAGGCAAAATGCTAGATAACGAGAACTACTTCGATGAAAAAATGCTTCGGAATCAACATTGAAGACATCGATCCATACAAAATCGATGACTAATTTCTTCGAAATGGATATAGAAGAACTCTGAATGAAGTACAAGGATTACAAACCCTAGGATTTCACAACAAGTATCAAAATCGATGCGATAAAACCGAGATTCGCATAATTAACAAGATCGTGCTAGTGAACGAAGAGATGAATACCTGGTAGGAGATGATCGAGAAGGAATCGGTGAACGGCGATTTTCTCTTCGCCAGCGAAATTTAGTTACAGAGCTCTGACGACAATGGGAGACGAAGAAACTTGGACGCTGGGTTCGAAAAGGTACGGGCTTAGCTGCAAGCCAAAAATACCATATTAGGCCCACTATGTTTCATTGGGCTTATCAGGCCTTTTACATCTCTATCCATATCAAACCAAATGTGTTTAGCAAGTGTACTAAATCTAGTTGTAGAAAGGTTTGACTAAACTTTGACAAAACCGTCGTAAATAGAATTTGAAAACAAACGTTGGTACTTACTTTTTCTTCAACGAGACTAATAATACGCGTTTACAATATTATAAAAAATTGACTCCTTAATTTGTTAAAAAGTCTTCTATTGCGAAAATTGCAAGTCACGGTCACCATCTAGGTGGCAAAAATTAGAACATAAATTTGATCGAACGATATCTATACGTACGTGTCAATTAGGTGTTCGTCTCTCTTATATTTCCGTATAGGCAACATGCAAATGTATATTACTAAAAGATAGCTTATTTGTTAACCAGCCACACGTGTATTACTATATAAACGTAAGAATACGATCCAATTGCTTACTTCTTTTTGCGGGTTTGTCCACGGCAACGTCTAAACTCCGATAACTTCAATATCCTTTGATAATGTTAGACTTCGAACACTATTTGTAAACTCTTTAATCATCAACAAAAAAAACCCATAAAAACTGGATTAATTTTACAAAAGAAAACAATTTTTTTTTTTTGTTCTCTGCTAGTAGTGGAAGTGTAACTTTGTTGCTAGTTTGATCCACCAAGCCAGAGTTGTAGTAGTTCCGAAGCTAGGGATATATGGTCGATGACGTTGTATGTTATTGTGTGTTGAGCTAACATTAGCAATGGATTTGTACGTGTGTGTGTAAATTCGCACGTATGCACCCTATCAGTTTCACATGAGTTCCAAAGTCATTTTCACCAACCATTTGATCTAGGTTTTTCCGACACTCCTCAGTTTTCGTGAAATTTTATTAAACAAGGAGTATATTTAAAACCTTGAACAGTTTGATTTACTTTTGAAAAATATTAATTATGAGTTTATTAATACTTGTTTTCCTTCACCAAATGATATGAAGAAATTATACGAGTGATCAGATATCTTAGTGCATTGTAATTCTAAAATACCCAAATTTAGAGTAATTCCTCCACCAAAATGTTTAAAACTTTCACCATCACAACTTAGTTTATATGCACGCGTATTATTTATTGTTTAACTTTCGTTTGTTAAACGTACATTAAACAAAACCATGCTTATCATTGTACGCATGAAAATATTGATTATCATAAGAGAGGTACAAACTTCATTGAAGATTGTTGAAATTTCCACGTCGTTCATTTTGTTTGTATATAAATGATCAAATTTTCTATTGTATTTCCCGGCATTTACTTTTACATATCATTCAGGATGTTAATTTGAGTAAATTAATTGATAGGCGATGCGTATATCCTTCTAATATCTATAAAATTTATGCCTAAAAGTCTATAGACTTTATGAACCTAAAGCATATATAGTCTTGTATTTCGTTTACTTATGACATTTTATAGTCTATGTACAATTAATTTATCGGAGCAAAGATCAGAGATGACTTTAAAAAGTAATTTTCTTCACAAAACATATGTATGTAATATATATATATATATATATATATATATATATATATATATCAAATTTCAAAATCAAATAGACCCCTTAGTATCGCTTACTCTTTGGCTGCACTAATCACATTGTTTTGGTCAACTAGTATACATTATTTTGGTCTCTGTATGTATGTATACATTATTTACGTATGTAAATTTTATAATAAGAAAAAAATCGAATTGAAAAAAAGTCGACCTGTGGTGGATGATGTGAGAAATGTTGGGGCTATATATAGGTGGGTGAGCTTAGGTGCTTAGGCTTTTGACATAATTCTTCTAAGTTAATGTAAACCTTAATTTTCACCTCCAATTTTTTTAAGGTTCGCTTAAATTCCTCTCTCTGTCTTTTAAATTAATAATATATAAAAAGAAATGGGGAGACAGCCATGTTGTGACAAGCTAGGGGTGAAGAAAGGGCCATGGACAGCGGAGGAAGACAAGAAATTAATAAATTTCATACTGATCAACGGCCACTGCTGTTGGAGGGCTTTGCCAAAGCTGGCTGGTCTCCGTCGCTGTGGGAAGAGCTGCCGTCTACGGTGGACCAATTATCTCCGACCTGACTTGAAGAGAGGTCTTCTCTCCGACGCCGAGGAACAGCTTGTCATCGACCTTCATGCTCTTCTTGGCAACAGGTTAGAGCTAGTCGTCATTTTGTCATGAAATTCTTGTTATACATTAATAGCTACGTCGTACGTCTTTATTAGTAAATTTCACCAATACATCATTAGTATATTTTGACCCTTGCACGTATCGTATGATAACTTGATAATGACATAGTCATAATTATCTTCATATGATCCGAGGTAGAGTAACGCTTACATATGTTTATATTTATCTAACATTAGTTAATTAATTTTGAGATGTTACTTAGCTTTGTGAAACACAAAAGAAAACTATTACATACTGTATGTGTTGACTAATGGTAAATATGCAGACAGTGTTATTGTGATGTATGAAGGAAAAACTAATCCAAAATTATGATGTAATATAATGTTCGGGTCGTACGGTTGAAGAGCTTAGTTAAAAATGATATATATTTATAATTAAGTTTCCCTTATTTGAACTAAGGTCTTCTATATTTGATCTTAAAATTGTGCATATATTTATATTTTTGAAATTAACTTCGAGACAAAGTAACGTTCATAGCTTCCAAATATAATCGATAACTTAGATTGTCAATTTTCTTGGTTTGACAAAAAAAAAAAAGATTGTCAAGTTTCTTGTGTTATATTCCAAGACTCCAGACTTTGACATCTCTACCGATACCTCCAAACATTATTATTCAAAAGAAAACATATTCAATGTAACTAAACTCTTTATTAATATTATTATTATGTAGATGGTCCAAGATCGCTGCAAGATTACCAGGAAGAACGGATAATGAAATAAAAAATCATTGGAATACTCATATCAAGAAGAAGCTCCTCAAGATGGAAGTCGATCCTATGACCCATCAACCTTTAAACAAAGTATCTATCGAAACAAATATCATCAATAAATCAGAAGCTTCCTCGAACGCCGCGGATGTAATGAGAAGTGATACTAGAAGCATAGAGATTATTGATGGGACAACTAAGAATTCCATGGATGAAATTAGCACAATGACTCATCAAAATAGTTCAACAGATGGTTATGAGTCGCTCGGTAATATTATTCATAATGATGAAGATATTTTTAACATTCTATGGACCGACGATGAATCTCCTCTGGTCAATGCATCATGGAGCAACAATAACGTCGGTTTTGATGGATCAACGGCAGAAAAAGTTAACATTTCCGCTGGGGAAGATTTTCCAACATGGTCATCGGAGGAGAAGAACGGTGAGAGTTGGATGTTTTTGGATTATTGTCAAGACTTTGGTGTTCAAGATTTTGGGTTCGAGTGTTACAATGATTTTGGTCAGAGCTCCATAGAGACTGGTCAAAAGGAATAGGATATGCAAGCACACATGGCCCATATACGCATATACTGACGTGTATATATATACGTATATTTATACAAATCGTAGTATACATACAAGTTATGTAAGAAAACTCATGTGAAGCAGTAAACAAGCACCATGGTTTTTACAAAGTACAATATTATGGTTACATGTATTATTAAGAGTTATCGTTAAACTAAAGCCTTGTTCCCCACTCATTCTCATGCAAGTTTGATGGGCTTCTTAAACGTTGGTGTGCTCAAGAGGCAGTGGCTAACTCGTTCCTATTCGTGTTCAATAATTGTAGCTTTCTCTGTTTTGATTATTTCACTCACTTTCTCACTGTCAATTCTATTCCACTTAAGCTTCAGCATGTTTATAAACTTTTTTGTTGATGAATAAATTTTACATTACCATAAAAAGAAAATGATTGTGAGCTACATCAAGTACTGTGAATTAAACTAATGTATGTCTACTTACATTAAGAAGGTAACATGCAACAACAACATAAGTTATGGTGTAACCATAATTCTGATGGACCCTTTCCTTTTCATTTGTGTCTATATATCTATATTTCTTTTAGAGACTATTAGGCTATAACTGGTGACTAAAGAATAAGGGAGAATAATTCTTTAAAAGTTACGGCTCTAACTGGTAATGGTTAAAAGAACACAAGGAATGAGAATGAAAGGAATAAAAAGGAATAAAAAAATATAGAACTCATTCCTTCTCATATTTTATAAGGAATCATTTAACACTACACTACCTTAACCAATATGGAATGAAAATAAATAATATGAGATACACATATTTTTAAATAGTGTAATTTTTAGGGAATGAGAGAAAATTTTCTTATTCCCCCTCGTTCCATGATCACCAGTTACAGCCTACATCATTTACAAAGAATATGTATCTCATATTATATTCTTTTTCATTTCTTTCATTCTCGTTCCTTTTGTTCATTTCTTTCATTCTCGTTCCTTTTGTTCATTTCTTTCATCAGTTAGAGCCTTACTTAGTGCAACCCAAGTAGTTTATCTTCTTGACAGCCCAAATTCTCTTATCCAATATATTGACTACATATCAGTTTTTTTTTGGGTTCTTGTTGAAATGTTAAACCTATTGACCGATTAAAAAATTGTGTGGAGGAGTTCCAAAATGGATATCTACATCACATCCTGGTTGGAATCAGTTGTCACAGCAACAATTTCTTATATATCCAATTGCATTTTGAAGCAATTTTTCTTTGTGGAGATCACGCATGTGACATGTGAATTAGACAAAGATCTCATATTACATAGTTCAAATAATTGTTCTCTTAAACTGGTAAATAACATTTATCTTGTTTAATATTTTTTTTTTCTATTATTCACATAACTTTATTAACCATCTGGCTTTATAATAGCAGTTTAATATTTTTAATTATTTACAGTAAATCATATATTTTGGAATTTTAATTTATTAATAAACGTTATATTCTCCTAAAAATATTAATTTCCAAGCACGACATGTGTTACCTAGTTCATGTATATTTTCCAGAATTTGGAATATCTGATATCAGATTGATAAGAAACCAAAAGTTAAAGAAAATTGCCAGTTTCTTGAGATAGAGTGAATTTTGCATAGTCTTTAAGTATATGTGAGTAGTTTTAACAGAATTAAGTCATAAAAAATACTATATTTTCCACTCAATATCCTGCGCGCATTGGATTAGGTTAAACGTATATCAGAAAATGAAGCCTAATGGTTTGTGCTAAGTTAAAAAAAAAAGCGACTGATGAAGTTAGAATTTGTATAATACGTTGATATGTGTGATTAATTTTTCATAGACCAATAAAAACTCCATCTCAGCTCAATATTGACTTGTATAAATTCCTGGACTAATTTAGTGCGTAGCAAAGTCGCAAACGTTTTTGAGAAGTTTAGAAACTGACAGTAGACATTTGTGGATATAACAACAACCAAAGTACATAACTATAAATGATTTCACACTTGTCACAACTCACAACTCTACATAAAGTGGTTTTAAGTTTTAACGAAATGAAGTACATCGTGGGAAGCAATTATCTCCTAAACGTGAGAGCCTCGTTTGGATTAATATAATTCTCTCTCAAAAAAAAAAAATAATGCTACTGTAAGTAAAACCGTCTATCACATATTTTATATGTTGTATTTTGTAAGATTGACCGAGTAAAACCTCATACCATAAATATGTGTGACGAGGAATTACATATGGTACTATTGTAGAATTGTCCAGATAATCATTTACCGTGATCAGATGTGCTATATGTTATACGGATTCGATTGTCTATAAGCTATGAAAAACGGTGAGGCAGTAGATAAAATCAACTATACACTCTCCGAGTACTCGATCAAGAATAATATATGCAATTGTTGTAAGCTACAATAAAATTTGATTCTTGTTCATACACTGAAAACGGTATACATCAGAGATTTGATGACAACAACAATATCGAAGCCCACAAATTCAAAATTCTGAATGGAAAAAATATATAAGTAGATAGTATACAAGATCATCAAGTGGAAACCAAGACAATTTCTTTCCATGGAAATAAAGCACTCACTGAGAAATTTTTTGTCAAAGAATAGTTAAAATTTAATAAAACATCGTCGAGATCATCATAAAGATGATCCCAGCCAATCCAGTTCCCGCGAGTTTGGTTGCAGCACCTTTGTCATCTTTAGGTGGTCCTACAATTTTTAGTACTCTCAGTATTTTAGGTACAATAAAATGGTAATAATTTTTATTTTATTATTTAAATCCCAAGTTTTGAACACTCCCTAAAAACATGTGCTCTATATTTTAACGATTTGGTATCAAGTGGTTTAAAATATTATTTGTTTTGTACCTGGAACCGGTGGAATCCCGTGCGGCAAAGGAGCTTTCGCGGCTATTAGAAAAAAGATCGAAGCAGTATAAGATATAACATATATGTAACATATTTAAATTTACAAAACACTTAACTTTGTGAATTTAAATGTTACCAGAACACATAGAAGTTCCAGCATCGATGCCACAACTCTTAGGGATGAGAAGAACATTCTCAACGGTGAGACCGTAGCCGGCCAATATTTGTGGGTTTGTGAGGATGTCGCAAAGACACTTAAGCTGTGTCTTCACCGCTGTGTCTAGGCTTTTGCAGCATTCCTCTGACGGTTTTCCTCCCTGTGTAAGCGCTGCTGCACATAAACCTAAGTTGGCCCCACAAACTATACTTGCATTTGGAGGAGGGGCCGTATCTCCTTGCCCTGAAACTACTGTTGCCGCCATTAGCAATATGGTTAGGAGGACGACGGTCGCGGTGGAGGTGGTAGTCGTAGTTGTTTGAGACATTGCTTATGTTAGGGAAATGTGATGAAGATTATCGATTGTGTAAGATGTTATCTTTCTTAATTTTGTATTGGCTCTTTTTTACTTTGTGTCCCCTTCGTATTTATAGACAAGTGACAACCATGGGAAGGATCTTTTATATTATAAATTTGTAGCATAATATATGTATGAGATTTTGTACAGATAACAATTAGTTATTTTATAGAATCGGTCTATAGTTGTCAGCATGAATTTAAATCATTAGTTAAAAAAAAAAAGTTACATACTGAGATGACAGATAGAGTCGTGAATGCTGTGTACAATTCTGATTTATAATTGTCTCCAAGAGATCTATCGTCAATAGCTAATGTTTTTTAAAAGCGGTGACTTGGCCAACATGTCAACAAAACTGATCAAGATTGATCCCAAAACTCTAAGCAAACCTTTTTTAAAAAATGGTAGAACGTTACAAACACTACTTTCTTTTTCTTATGCCAATATTGAAATCAAAGTGGGAAAATATAACGGATAAGTGAACCTTTTATTAAAACAAATTCCACAATCTAAAAAAGTGTTTGTAACCCTCTACAGTATTTTATTCAAATGATCTGCTTCTCGCTTTGAACAGTTTATGGATCAATTTGAGTTCATTTTAAAGTTTTTATCACACAAACGTGATTTTTGAATAAATCTAGGATAGTTAAATTGATTTTTTTATTCAATTCATTACAATTTTTTTCAGAGAAATATTTTAACTTGTAAATCTTCAAAAATATTTTCTTATTAAAAAGTTCTTTTTCTTTATTGTAAAAAAAATATTAAAAAGTTATTTCATAAATCAATTCCTTTTTTGGTTTTCATCAATTAATTATTCCAAAGCCCTAGTCCTGTCTTGTTAACCCTAATGTTTATAATCTTTCCTCTCCACCACAGCCTCCACTGCAATTTTGGGCGATCATGGCCGCCGAAGAGATTCAACCACATAAAAAAAAGAAGAAGAAGACGAGTCGTCAGCCATCATCGTCCATTTCTTCATTGTCGTTTTCTTCATTTCCAGACGAAATAAAAGAGACCATTCTTGCACGTGTCTCGAGATGGAAGTATCCGTGGCTTTCTCTCGTCTCAAAGAGATTCTGCTCTCTCTTATCTTCTAAGGAAATCTACAAGGCACGATCTCAAATCGGAGCCAAAGAAACATGCTTCTATGTCTGCTTATCGCACAAAGACTCACATCCAAGCTGGTTTAGTCTCTGGACGAAACCTGGAGCCAAACGGAAAGCCAAAGGGAAAGGCCGAAAGAACTGGTTTAACAAGGATTCAAGTGGAACTTCTGTTGTTCGGACACCTTTCTCTTCTTCCCAATGTCCTCTCGTACCAGATCACTTCACCTTAACGGTTGGTTCGGAATTCTACATAATCGGTGGACCCTATCAGAAGCCGTCTTCCTCCGTTCGGGTTCTTGACTGTCGGAGTCATACTTGGCGTGACGCCCCTAACATGATCGTGGCTCGGGAAAATCCGTTTGCGGCTTTCGTGGATGAGAAGATATATGTGATGGGAGGTTGCGAGATTGACGAGTACCCTTCCAATTGGATTGAGGTGTTTGACATGAAGACTCAGTCTTGGACAGCCTTGCCTGGTCCTGGCGCTGATGAAGCCGAGTTACGCTATCTTCTACGCCGAGGTTATAACCACGATTTAGTTGAGGTGTTTGAAGGAAAGCTTTACGTAGCGATAGAAGAAAAGGAGTACGCTTATGGGGTGAAAGATGGTACATGGAAACTTGTAAGACCGAAGTCGAGTTTCTTACTCGAGTACCAAATGTGTTCGTGTGAGATAGAGAATGTTATATACTGCTGCACTGGCTATGGAGTTTTGATGTGGTCTTACTCTAGTGGGACTGAGGGTAGGGAGTGGAGAGATATTGAGGGTTTGGAAGAGTTGCGTGAGGACCGTTCAAGGGGTTTAGAATCTGAAGGGAGTAGTAAGTTTTTAGTGGAGAACTATGGTGGGAAACTTTTAGTTATGTGGCAAATTTCTGGTAAAAAACAGAGAAACAAAATTTGGTATGCCAAGATCTCCTTGGAATCAAGATGCAATGGACGTGAGGTTTGGGGTAATGTAGAGTGTGTCGACATGCTTACATTTCCTGTCGAATCATTTGAATCCTTTCAGTGTTTAACTGCTTCGGTTTGATGATTCTATGACACTGGTAAGAGTCTTTTCTTTTGCTTTGAAACATTCTGTTTCTTTTTGTTCCTTATGAGTTGTGAGTCTTGTGACAAGTCTCTATATTTTAGTTGTTTGGTCGTTCATCCAAATGTTCTTAGAGCCATGGATCTTGCAAAAAGATAACCATTTTATTGAGCTCATGAAAGAAAGTAACAGTTTAAACTTAGAAGTTTATTTTGGAGTTTTTTTTATCGAGATTGATCTTGTACTTTTTTTGTTACTTGGAAGTTGTTTTTTGCATTTTTTTCCTCAATATGATGGTGTTAACGTCATAACCAAATATCCAAATGCCCATGCATGTCCAATAATAACCTGAAGTCATTTGGAGATGAATTGTGGATGTGGACAGGCCTGGCACTCAGGGTATTGGCGCTCGGGTATATTAACAAAGGTCATGCTAGCTAATATATAAACTTTTCCAAGGATGCTATAAAAGTGTTATACTAAAATTCTAAGGATATGCAAATACTTACTCCTCTTAAACAAAACTCTATTACAAACCATCATAACGTAAATTTTCTTTAACGGATCAACACGAATGGAAATTTTTCGTTTGCGTTGTTTCTCTCTTCATCATGTAAATGTTGTCTTGAAGGTAATTCTTGCTACAATACCCGGAAATCCTGGGACCTTGACACATTGTGATCGTATTTTCGTCGGTTACAAAATTATCGTCAGATTCTACCTTTTTCATTTGTCTTTATATTTATCAAGTCCAGCCTTTATTATTTGTCATATGTACTCATAAATACCAGCCGAGTCAGCTGTAACGGGCGTAGATTTGGCCGATAGTTCCTTTTGTTTAGTTTAGTCACACGACTTGCAAATAATTAGGGTTTGTGAAATAATATAAGGACTGGCTACGAGTAAGTCAATCTATTTTTCTCTGAGTAAATTTTTATTTTATGGCTCGGGCTGGAAATCTTCAAAGTCTTCGTCTTCATCGTCGTCTATCACTATGCCTAGCCGGAAAGGGAGGCTTTACCAGTGAGTTTTCGTCTCCTTTCTAGTCTACATATACTTAGTTTCGTAGATTAAATTCACCAGAGACTTAATATTTAGTGGATTCAAAGAATCGATTGAGTTTGTTTTTGTTAAATTTGTTTTTATCATATATATGACTCAAATTATTTCTGTGAAAGTTATGAGAATCAATAGGATCTGTAACGTTTTAGGATTCTTTAGTACTGGTTAATTGACTAGAATATTGTCAAATCTCCAATTTCACCTTAATTTTGGATGCACATTCTTTGAAAATTCTCAGATTTTACAGGACCGGAAATGTTCTAGGGGTTCTTAAGTTATGCATTTAGAGCATGATTATTGGTAGAGACACATATTGTCACTTAACTCATATTTTATCAATAAAATTATTTTAGCAACTCTTATTAAGAGACTTTTGTTTTCCTTGCTCCAATGTAAAACTCATTAGGTGTTCTTAACACACACACACACAAAATTGTAAAACTTTTAAGTCTACAAACTCAACTCAACACAATGATTGTTATTCCATTACAAAGGCACGCAAGATTTTTAGGATCATATTCTTTAGGAAACCGGATTCTAACTGAAACTGACTTGCTTGTCGCAAGATTTTACAGAATTTGTTCTATGTAATCTCTAATATCAGTGTAATTTTGGAATCACATGATTTACAATATGTGAACAATATTTACACTGTTTTGTTGATCCAAAACTCTTACGTAGGCCAAACGTAGATGTCAAAGGAGCTTGTTCCTTGGAGAGCAAGAAACAGAGCATAGAAGCAGAGAAGCCAAGTTTCGCTGACCTTCCACTATGTCTCTTGGAAGTAATAATATCGAAACTTGATTTAAAAGATAACATCCGTGCGTCCGCTGCATGCAAAACGTGGCGTGAAGCCGGTCTTTATGTCCGGTTGGTGGATAAGCCTCCTTGGCTTATGCACTTACCTAAACGTGGACACTTGTTCGAAATCTATGATCCATTGCAACAGAAGATGTACGCAGTGAATCTACCTGAGCTAGCCAAATCAACGGTGTGTTATCTC